GCAGGGGCCTGGTGGTGCCTGGACAGGGAAGAGAGCTGGGAGCCGAGGCAGCCAGAGACCCTGTGTAAGGCAGCCTGTCGCTGTGAGGGTCACGCGCATCGTGCGTGTGGCTTGGTGAACGGAAGAGACTGTTAGTTATAAAGCACCCCAGGGAGGGGCGAGACACGCACAGAGATTGAAAGCAGGGCTTTGCCCCAGCGAGCCTGTAAGCTGGGGCTAGGGCCTGGCTCCGGGAGGGGAGTGGGGTCTAGTGGTTAGAGCGGGGGGGGGGGGCCTGGGAGCCAGGACTCCTGGGTTCTCTCTCTGGCTCTGGGAGGGGAGTGGGGTTTAGTGCTTAGACCAGGGGCACTGGGACCCAGGACTCCTGGGTTCTAGTCACAGCTTGGGGAGGGAGTGGTAACAGATTCATGGATTCCAAGGCCAGAAGGGACTATTGTGATCATCTCATCTGACCCCCTGTAGGGCACAGGCCAGAGACCTGCCCCATAGTCATTCCTAGAGCAGATCTGTTAGAAAACATCCAATCTTGTGTTAAAAATGGCCAGTGATGGAGAATCCACCCTGACCTGGATAAATTGTTCCCATGGTTAATTCCCCTCCCTGGTAAAAACGTGCACCTTATTGCCAGTCAATTTGTCTAGCTTCAGCTTCCAGCCATTGGATCTGCGAGGCTGAAGAGCCCCGTATTAAATCTTTGTTCCCCATGTAGGTCCTGACAGACTGGGATCAGGTCACCCCTTCACCTTCTCTGTGTTAAGCTAAATAGACGGAGCTCCTTGGGTCTGCATCGTTAGGAAGCAGGGTTTTTAATCCTTCAATCATTCTTGTAGCTCTTCTCTGCCCCCTCTCCCATGTATCAGCATCCCTCCTGGCTTCTGGGCACCGGAACTATGTATTCCAGCAGCCATCGCACCAGTGCCAAACACAGAGGTAAAATCACGTCTCCTCCTAGCTGAGATTCCCGTTTATCCATCCGAAAAGCACGTTGGTCCTTTTGGCCACAGCATCCCACGGGGAGCTCATGTGATTATCCACCCCCCCACATCTTTTTCAGGGTCCCCGCTTCCCAGGGCAGCGTCCCCCAGCCTGGAAGTGTGGCCTGCGGTCTTTGTTCCTCCATGCCTAAGTCTGCATTTAGCCGGACTAAAACGCAAATTGTTTGTCTGTGCCCAGCTTCCCAAACAATCCAGGTCGCTCTTTATCAGTGGCCTGGTCTCTTCATCAGTCACTGCTGCCCCAGTTTTCATGTGAGCTGGAAACTTTATCAGGGATGATTTTATCTTTACTTCCAGATCAAATGTTAAATAGCATAGGGCCCAGAAGAGATCCCGGTAGAAAGACGCCCACCCCATGATGATTCCTCATTACGGTGATATTTGGAGTTGTGTGTCAACCAGCTTTTAATCCATTAACTGTGTGCCTTGGTAGTTTCATATCATCCTCGTTTTCTAATCAGAATGCCGCGTGGCACGCCGCACAATGCTTCACAGACGTCGAAGATCATTACATCACCACTGTCACCTTTATCAACCAAACTTGGAATCCCATCAAAAGCCATCAGGTTAGTTTGACAGGATCGCTTTCCAGAAACCCACGTTGATTGGCATTAATTACATCACCCTCCTTTAGTTCTTTATTAATCGAGTCCTGGATCAGCTGCTCCATTATCTTGCCCAGGATCGATGTCAGACTGACAGGCCTGGGTCATCCCGTTTACCCAAGGTCAGCTTCCTCCAGGATCCTGGAAGGTCCCCAGCCCTCCAAGAGTCCTTGTCCGAGGTGGGTGCTGAGCCCTGAAGGGAGTGAGAGCCGGGTGCTAGCATGACTCTGGGGAGGCAGGAGGCTAGGGGCCAGGACCCCTGGGTTGGAGTCCCAGCTTTAGGGGGCAGTGTGGGATGGCTGGGGTTTGTGTTTCACTGTCGGTACACATGCATAGTGGGGTCTAGGGGTTAGAGCAGGGGTGGCTGGGAGCCAGGACTCCTGGGTTCTCTCCCCAGTTCTGGAGGGGAGTGGGGGCTGGTGGGTTAGAGCAGGGGTGGCTGGGAGCCAGGACTCCTGGGTTCTCTCCCCAGTTCTGGAAGGGAGGGGGGGCTGGTGGGTCAGAGCAGTGGGGGCTGGGAGCCAGGACTCCTGGGTTCTGTTTCTGACTGTTACTGATTTGCTACGCGCCATCAGGGAATTTCCTTCTTCTCCGTGTTGGGCACAGCGCTGCCCTGACGCCAATTCAGCGTGACACTGAATTAACGCTTGCCGAGCCCTGCGAGCCCGTTGATCAAAGGTGGAATAGAGGAGCAGCACGCTGCCCGCTGCCTTTCCACGCCAGCCGCAGAGCCGAGCTGGTTCAGAAGAGGCTTGTGGCTGGTTTTTCCAACTGCTGTAATTACCAGGTTCCCCTCCAACCGGCAGGATGACTAATGCTCAGCAGCCTGGCGGGGGCTGCGCTCCCCAGATCTGGAGAACGAACTCTGGCGCAGGCGGGCTGAGAGCTGTGACTGTTCCCAGCTCCTTCTGTCGTGCCCAGCTCCCAGCATCGCCCTCCCCAGCCCCGCCCCCCACCTCAGACAAGGATCAGGGAGCTGCCGAGGAGCTGGAATCCAGGAGCATCTGTAGGTTTGGCTCTACTGGGACCGGCCCCCATTCCCGACACGACACCGGGGCAGAGCCCTGGAGTTCTCTGCAGCCCCTCCAGAGGGCCCAGCCCAGGGGCAGGGGACTTTACGCCACCTGTGGGGCCTTCCAGATCCTGGGCTGCTCCGGGGACCAAATAGCCCTTGGCGTAAATTAGAGCAGCCCCAGGATGCTCTAGCGGCAGCCCAGCTGAGCTGCCCATGGGCTGTGGCGCAGTCTAGTCACTGCAGCGCCACATACCACAGGCCTGGAATGCCCGGGGTGCCTGGGCTTGTGCGGGGAGCACTCCTGGGGCCGTGCCATGCTGCCCGGGCATTACCCACCCCGCACGCTGGTGGAATGGCTCAGGGACAGGATCTCTCGCTGTGCATCGCTAGGCAAAGCCACTGTTTGCACCATTGGAGCGTCCCTGGGTGGGCATCCGGGGTTCAAATCACCATCTGGCCACGATCGGGCCGGGCATGGGGATTGATAGCATGGACTAGACGTTCATTTCACAGTCCCTGATTTCCCCACCCTGAGCTGCATACAGGGCGAGCGGGGGCCGTTCTCCCTCCTTTGCTAGCCGGGGGTCAGGCTGGACAATCCGATGGACCCTCCAGGCCATAAGCTCTGTTCCCCCGGCCAGGGCACAGACACACCCTGCAATGGGGGTATCTCAGGGGGCAATGGCAGGTTATTTGGATCATCCCCGGAGTGCAACACAAACCATTTAACGCAGAGCAACGCCAGGGATCAGACGTGAGGCAGGGAGGAGTTAAATCCCGCCCCGGGCAGACAGGCAGCGCCAGGCCTCTGCACCATGTTAGTCCCACTGATGCTGGTCAGCAGGGCTAAGTGGTCCCAAGGCCTTGCTGGAATAGATTCACCCGGCCCTTGCCTAGGCCCCGAAACCAGCAGCCAGGCTTCAGAGTCGCCAGCAGCTCCCACTGCTTTCCAAGGGGGGGGATGAGACGGGCCACACCTCTGGAGCCACCGGCTTCCCCAGGGGCCAGACAGTGATGGACGTCTGAGGTTGACACATCGGCCACCAGATCCATGCCCCTAGGGCAGCTGATGGGAATGGCCCAGAGCGAGAGCGATGCCAGCTTGGGGGACTCAACTCTTTGATCCCTTTCTGGCCTTCCTTGGCTCACCCCCCTCCCTTGGCTGCGTTTCCAGGGGGGTTACTCAGCACAGAGGGAATTCAGGCCTGTGCACACCTGGCCGGGCTGCCTCTGTTACCGCCCCTCCCCCACCGTGCACACTCCTGGGGGAGGTGCTGATTTTGGTCTGAGCCACTTACTGCAGCTTGGTTTAACCTTCAGCCTAATCGGTCTGACCTAAACCGGATTAAAGCCGCTCTAGAGGGGAGCAGCTGCCGGCCTGCGGCTCTGGTTTCACACCACCCTTCGAGGCTAACGGGGTACAGGCCTGCACAGACTCCCTGCAGGCAAGCACTGTCCCTGTGCCTCTTACACGGCTGCCAGTGACACCACAGACGCTCCTCTAGCTGTTAGCACTATAGGGACTATGACACACGAGCAAACAGATCTGATTCTGTCCAGCAGAGGGCTGCCTCGCACACACCCTGCCGCTCCAACAGACCCACTCCCCGATCCCTGGGGCCTCCTGTGGTAGCGTTATCTCCCGCTTTGTTTGGCGGGGCTGGTGGACTCAGTAACCAACGCGTGTTTCAGTTAGCACAAGAGAGCCACAAACCAGCCCCATGCCCTGCCCCCAGCCTGCCGCTCCCATCCATCCCCCACCCCATCCACACCCCCTGCCCCCAGCCCCATCCACCCACACACCCCAGCCCCCCACACCATCCATACACCCCTCATCCACACCCCCTGCCCCCAGCCCCATCCATCCACACCCCATCCGTCCCCCACCCCCTGCCGGCCATCCACACACCCTGCCTCAGCCCCATCCATCCCCCACCCCCAGCCCTCCACCCCCATCCATCCACACCTCCAGCCACAGCCACACCCCCTGCCCCCAGCCCCATCCACCCACACACCCCAGCCCCCCACACCATCCATACACCCCTCATCCACACCCCCTGCCCCCAGCCCCATCCACCCACACCCCAGCCCCCCACACCATCCATCCACACCCCATCCGTCCCCCACCCCCTGCCGGCCATCCACACACCCTGCCTCAGCCCCATCCATCCCCCACCCCCACCCCTCCACCCCCATCCACACCTCCAGCCCCATCCAGCCCCACCCCCAGCCCCAGCGGCACACACCATCCACCCCCCGCCGGGGCTGATCCCAAGGGCTCCCCGTGGCCCCGCGGCAGCAGCGGACGCTGGGGGGCTGGGCTCCGAGGCGTCCCATTCATCTGGCGAGAGAGCCCCGCCCCCGCTGACGTCAGCCGGAGGAGGGGAATCGAGGCAGGCAGGCGAGCGGGCTGCACGCTCGGGGCGAGCGAAGAAAGGGCAGCGCCAGCGCCGTGTGCCGGGCCCCCCGAGCGCCCCGCAGCCCCGGGCCCGTCGGTTTTCGCGCTGGGCCGGGCCCCAGAGCCCCGAAGGTGAGTGGGGGGGAGGCGAGAAGCCGCTTTTGTTCCTCTCCGGTGTTTGCGGGGGGGCTGCCGGGCTCGGCTCGCTTGCGGCTCAAAGGGAAGCGAACCCCAGCGCGTCGCCCCGGGCCCCCTTCGCCACAGCCCCCCCGTCGGGCGGGGAGCCCCCCCGTGCAGCCGGCACCCCGCTTTCCAGGGCAGGCTGCAGCCCGCGGAGCCCCCCCGCAATTGACCCACTTTCTTTGTGCGAACGAGCCTTGGGCTGGGGGCCGGGCGTCCCCCCCCGGCCCCCCTCCCGCTCAGCCGAGCGCGGCGGGCGGGGCCCCCCAGACTTTGGGGGGGGGCACTGGCTTTGCTCTCCGTGCGCTGCAAAGTTTCCAGGCTGGGCCCTCGGGGCTGGGGCGGGTTGGACTCCGGTGGTGGGGGCCTTGGGGCAGATCTGCCCCCCCCCCCCACGAAAAGCCCCTTTGCGCTCCCTGCACCCAGGGCTCCTGCAGCCTCGCCTCGGGGGAGCGGGGGCCCCTCAGCCCAGGGGCTCGGGCTCCCCGCCGGCGGCCGAAGTCCCCGGGGCGGGGGTCGGTGGCTGGCAGGACCCGGGGGGGGGGATCCCGGCTCCGCGCTGTGGGGCGCAGGACCTCGCCCCCTGTCCAGGTCGTGTCAGCAAAGCCGCGGCCCGCTGAGCTTGCGGAGGCTCCGCCCGCGTCTCCTTTCTCCGCTCCCAGCTCCGCCGGGAAACCAGCCCAGCCCCGCTCCCCGGGGGCGGCCGGGGGGGCGCAAGCAGCGCCCTCGGCGAGCCTCTTCCGCTGCCCCCTTGGGGGGTTATTGCCCCCCGTGTCTCCGGGCTCGGCTCCAGCCCCGCGGGGCCTCGGGCTCCCCCCACTGCTCCGGCTCCGGGGCGCCCCGCGGCGCTGGCTCCCGCCTGCCCCCATCTTTGGGGGGGGGGGGCGACCCGGGAGTTGAGGGGCTGGGGTGGGGGACCCGGGCCCGCCCCCTACAGCCCCGGGCGGCTTCCCTAGAGCCCGCGGAGCTGGCAGCGCCCCCACCCGGCTCGGTCCCTTGGGGGGGGGACTGCCCCACCCCGCTCGGCGGGGCCGGTCCCCGAGAGCAACGGGCAGTGCCCGCGCCGGCCGGCAGGGGGCGGAGCGCGCCGGGCCCAGCCGGGCTTTTGTTCCTTCGCAGCCCGAGGGGCGGGGGGCTGCTGGGGGGGGGCGGCTCCGTGCTGGCCGGGGGGGGGTTGCTGGGGGGGGCGGCTCCGTGCTGGCCGGGGGGGGGCTGCTGGGGGGGCGGCGGCTCCGTGCTGGCCGGGGGGCGGCTGCTGGGGGGTGGGGGGCCGCTCCGTGCTGGCCGGGGGCGGCTGTTGGCCGGGGGCGGCTGCTGGGGGGGGCGGCTCCGTGCTGGCCGGGGGGGAGCTGCTGGCCGGGGGCGGCTGCTGGGGGCTGCTCCATGCTGGCAAGGGGGGGCTGCGTGCTTGGCGGGGGCGGGGAGGGCTGCTGGGGGGCGGCTCCGTGCTGGGCGGCGGGGCAAGCTCTCGGCCCCACTGCACCCCAGGCAGAGTCCCCGCAGCCCACCCCTGCCCCGGTTGCTGGACTTGCTCCGTGGGGCAGAGCAGGGGCTGGCCAGGCTCTGCGGGGTTGACTAGTGCTGGGCCTGCTGGCAGTGCGCTCACCCCTGTCCCCCCTCAGGCAGGGAGCCCAATGGGGAGACCTGGGGGGGTCTCTCCCCCCCAGGCTGGGGAATGGGCGAGCCCCACGGCGGCTGGGCTGCGCCTGCCTTGGCCCCCTTCCCCCACACGGCAGCTGGGCCCCCGGGCTGGGCTAGGCTGGCATGGGCAGCTGCTCTGCTGGCCTGACCGTGTGTGGCCGGGGGTCCCCCTTGGCACTGCCCCTTGCCACGCTCCGTGGGTTCGGGGCCTGGCGTCTCCCGTGGTCCCTGGGCTTGGGCTCCTCTGCCCCTGGTTGAGCCCTGTGCGTGGGGTGATGCCGCGCTCCTGGAGTGTCCCCCCCCCCACGTGGTGCCCATCGTCTCCCCCTGCCCCGCGGCAGCTGGAAGGCGGGTGTGCCAGGGGCAGGCCTTTCCTCGAGGGAGAGCACGGCGCTCTCCTGCTGCAGGTGCCTCCTGACCCGTGGGTCCAGCAGCTGGTGGAGTAGGGGCAGGATCTGTCCCCTGCGCAGGAGCCAACAAGGACTCGGGCTTGGTCTCCTGAGCTGCCTGTCCCCTGTCCCCTCCAGCCCCCCGAGCAGCTGCCAGACAGTGGTGGTTCTTGTGACGTGGGTGTTTGATGCACTGGTCGAAGACCCGCCAACTCCGAGGGGCTGAGAGCAGGGGCTGGTCCCCGCGGGCTGGATTGGGCTGGGGGGGTTCCAGATGTTCCCTTGACTCCGTTGGGAGTGGCAAACTCGGGCAGGGGCAGGGGCTGCCGCCTTGGCCTGTCCCCAGCCGGATCTCCCATTGGTGTGGCCGGCTTCCTGGCCGGGCTGGCCAGGATTCCCATAGCCCACTGCCTCGCTTCCTGGCCGGAAATCCACTTCTCCCCTGCGTGTCCTGCGGGGTGGGAGAGGCAGCTTCCTGCTTCCCTTCATGGAAAACAGTTATGCTCCTGCCGCTGTCCGGCTGGTAACCTGTGAGCTCTTCCCACATCCATTGCCCCCCAGCCCTGCCCTGTCATCCCCCCCACTCTGGCCCCTGCCTGGCTGGATGCCACGGGCACCTTCTGTCCTCTGAGGCCGTGTCCCACCTATGGTCTCCGTCAGTCCCTCCCCAGGACATGCTGGGGGACTCTGGGCAGCAGTGCCCCCCTCTCCCCATGAGGCTCCAGGCATGTTTCTGCCCGCTCTGCTCCAGGCTGGCAGCGGGAAGCCAGGTGTCTGGGGTGGCAAGGGCCCAGCACAGGGCAGGAGAGAGCCAAGGGTCCCAAAGCCCCTCACTGGCGTGGAGGTAACTCACCAGCTGCCACCTGGGCTGGTGTCATTCTACCCATGTTAGAGGGGGAAACTGAGGCACAAGGCCAGAGAGGGAGTCTGTCAGAGCTGGGAATAGAACCCAGGAGTCTCTGCTCCCTCTCGGAAGGAGCCTGTGGGGACCTGCCCTGTCGGGATTGGCTCAGAGGGGCCCCTTTGGGGCTCTGAATGGGGAAACCCCCTCACCCATCCCTGTGTGGAGTTTCCTCCTGCAGAGGATGTGATGGCTGCAAGGTGGAGTAATCCCAGGGGAGTGTGTGTGTGTGTGGGGGGGGGCAGCTGTGTGTTAGCTGGGAAGAGGAAGGAGCAGCTTTGCTGGCAGCCCCTGCGGCTCTTCCCCCTCCCCGGCTGACTCAGCACCAGCCCCATTGATGGCAGGAAGTAGTTACCGAATGAGGTGACCACAAAAAAGGGAATCCGTGACCCAGGGGTGGCACCGGCTTGGCAGAGTCGGGGGAAGCTCCCAGCAGGAGGGGCTGGTGCACCCCCAGCTCCCGCGGGGGACACTCGCCTAGGAAGGGGGGTGGCTGTGGATAAGGGAAGAGAAGCCGAGAGCTCCTGTGTGCGCCTCCCTCTCTGACACTGGGCAAATCCCCCACCAGCCTGCCCTTGGCTCTGGGGGTAGGGCTGCCCCCCATGGTCGTTTCCCAGCTGGCTGGGTCAGACCCATTTACTCTTCCATGGGGCTGGGGCTGGCTTGGCAGGGAGTGCTTTGCGGGGGAGGGTGGGGGAATCTGGGGCTGGCTCAGCCCCCACCCCAGCTGAGTGTTCAGAGCAGATGCATCTCAATGGTTCCCTTGTCCCGGTTTCCTGCCTGCCCACGTGCTTTGGCTCCTCTGCCCTTGGCCCCCCGTAACTTGCCCATCTCTCACCGCCAGGCCCCCGGAGCAGCGAGTGGAGCCGGGCGCAGGGAGGCCAGACCCCAGCATGCCACGGGGCAGCATGGACACCAGCCTCCCGGGCCTCGCCCTGCTCACCGCCGTCTGCCTGAGCGTGGGCACCACCGACACTGCCTGGTGGAACCTGGTGCCCAGGAAAACCATCCCCTACAACGGTGAGTGCACCCGTGGCCGGGCTGGGGGGACGTGTCGTGTCTCAGTCGGGTGGCGCCCAGCCCCGGCTGAAAGCACAGAACCAGTGCGGTGCCCTGGGCTGGGCTGGGCTTTTTGGCGTTAAACCGGCTGATAGAGGATGGGGGGGCAGCAGAGGGTCTGTGGAGGTGTGGGGCTGGGAACACCCCATCAGACAGACCCCTGGAGCCTGTCCCCAGGAGCATCCGCCCCACGGTGCTGAGCTGGGATCCTAGCGACTCAGGGCAAAGGGGCCTGGAGGGATGACAAATTTTAACGAAGAAGTCGAGGGTCTGGCTCCGCAGTGCTGAGATTGGGGAGAGGTGGGGGGTCTGTGCGTGTCACTGTCAGGCTCGCGTTCCTGGCTCTGCAGCCACAACCATCTCTCGCTGTTTAAAGGGGAATGCAGAGACTCGCGTGATCCTGGGACTCCAGGAGCTGAGGCTTTGAGGAAACCCCCAAATCCCATGTGCCTGGGGCAGGGCCAGTCCCTGGCTCGCTGTGCAGTGAGGGTAAGGGGCCAGCAGTGTCCCTGTGCTGGGGGGCAGCTGTGGAGAATCCCTGCCTTTGGGGGGGGGAAGCTCCCAGTCCAGCCTGCACTCGCCTCAGCAGAGGAAGGCAGGCCCAGTGGTTAGGGTGCTAGCTGGGACTTGGCAGACCTGGGTACAGTTCCCTGGGCAGCCATGGCCTCCCTGTGTCCCACGGGAGTCCCTGGAGCCTGTTCCCTGGGACGGGAGCACGTCCCCCCACCCCCTCTGGGTCTGACTCGAGGGGCTGGAGCGGGGAGGGAGAGGCAAAGGACAGGGTAGGAGTGACTGCTGCAGTTAAGCTGGGGTGTGCTCAGCCCTGGGGCCCCTGGCTGGAGGAGGGGGTGGGGGGAGGACACGCCACAGTCGCTCTGAGCCCTGTTGGGGGGTGAAGCTGGTTTGGGGAGCTCAGGCCCCAGTACCGGGCCCATTGCCCAGAGGGGGCGTCTCCTGGACTGTGCGTGGGGCACAGGGCAGCACCTGTGGCCCTGGCAGCCTGGCCCCTCCCTTGGGGGCAGCCCGTCCCTTTGCATAAATCTGGCTGGCACAGCCGGGCCATGGCGAGTCGTGACGTCCGGGCGCTGCTGGCGGGCATCTCCCGCTGGCATGGGATTGGGAGCCCCCTCCCCTCCCGGGACCCCCAGCAGCAGCCTCCCTGCCCTCCCTCCCAGCTGTCTGCAGGAGTTAACACTGGCCAGACCGGGAGCTCTGTGGGGTGGGGCGGGGGCCTCCGTCCGACTGCCGGGGTGACCCTCCCCGGCCTGGCCCCCATGGCTGGTTTGGCCTGTCAGCCAGCTGCTCGCCCCCTGGCTCCGTGGTACCTACTCTGGGGTCCCCAGACTCTCCCGGGGTCCCCCCCGGCTGGTGGGAAGGGGGCCTGGCTGGCCCCAGGGGGCTGCCTCTCCGGAGGTGACATCAGGTGTTTGCACCAGCCCCGGGCAATGATCTCATCCTGTTTGCTGCTTGCTGCCCTCCCCAGGGCTCCCCTCCATCCTGCGCCCTGCTGCTCCCCCAGCGCAGGGGCTGGGCCCGGGGGCGGCGTCCCTCCCTCGTGCCCACAGCCCCTCCTTCGGCTCCTGCCAGGCGGGGCGGGCGCCCGGCCCTTGTGCCCGCTCTGCTCTCTGTCTCTGCTCCCTGGGCGCTCCCCCCTCGGTCCCGTGGCGCGGCACAAACCCGTCTTCGTTCCCCGCCTTGGCGCTCGCTCTGGGGGGCTGACGGCCCCCGTTGGCGCGTGGGCGGGGATGTGTCATGAGGCGGTGCCCCTCGCTCCCGACCCGCAGCCCCTGCTTCTGCCAGGCTCTCTGCCCCCAGGGCTGCTCAGAAGCTGGCCCCGCTGTGCCCAGGGCAGGTTTCCTCCTGGGCCCCCTTCAGCACTCGGGCTCTGCAGCCCCCCCCCCGTTCCGCCCCCCGGCTCTCTGGGCACCCCAGTCCCTGCAGGAGCTGACGCACCAGCCAGCCTGGGGTTGCCCTGGGGCTGGGTGCTGCCCGCTGGGTCCGTTTCCCAGGCCCCGGCCTGGCTGTGGGGTGGGAAGGGGGTCGGGGGCCCTGGCTCCTCGCCAGGGGGCCCAGAGCTGGCCTCACCCCACAAGCGTGGCTGGTGCCCGCTCTACCCGCTGCGGGGGGCTGGGCCCATCCTCTCGGGTGCGGCTGCCCGCGGCCTGTCTCCCCATATGGTGGGGGCTGGGCAGTGCTGCAGGCTCCCCTCCCCCGCCCAGCCGAACCCTGGGCTGGTGAGTGGGGGAGGGAGGCTGATTGAAGCCAGGTGCCCGCTTTGATCAGCCGCGGCGCTGTGACGGGCTCTGCTCCCCGGGTCTAATGGGCCCCAGCTGGCGGAGCGGCTGAGCCAGCCCCCTCAGTGCCGAGGCCCCAGGTTCTCCATCTCCCCTGGGAGCCCTGATCTCCAGGGTGCCAGGGGGTCGCCCCCACCTCCCAGTGCTCCTGGCCTGTGCCGAAGGAGTCTCTGGGTGTTCGTGTGGGGGAGCGGGTGCGACCGTCTCTGGGGAGGCTCATTCCCTGCGTCCAGTCCCGCTTTGCCTGTGTCACCTCAAGGTGCCCATGCTGCCCGTCTGCGACTTTAGGCGCTGGGGATGCCAAGTCTGGCAGGGTCTGTGCCCCAGGGCAGGGGTGAGCTGGCCACGGCGGTTCCAGCTCTGGCTTGGAGCCTGGTGTGCGGCGCCGTGTCTTGCATTGATGTCCGCGCTCGGCTGCCCTCACCCCGGGTTCAGGATCCAGGGAGATGCGGCCTGGTTGGACCTCCCCATGCCAGCTGGCGTGTGTGTATTTGGGAGTGTTGTACGTGGCAGCGTCTAGGAATCTCCCTGTGCCCCTGGTGCCGTCGTGCCAGGCGCTGTACAGACCCGGACTGCAGAGCCGGTCCCTGGCCTGGGGTGACGTGCTCCTGGGTTGGGGATTGGGACCCAGGAGGCTTCCTGGAAGTGGGGGGGGGGGTGTCCCTGTTTCTCCCAAGGCTCCAGGCCAGTGTGAAGCGATCCGTACCCTGGGCCCTCTGCGCCAGCCTGGGGGATGGGTTTGTGTCGGGGGCTCACATTGCGGCTGGTAACACGACCGGGCTGGTGCTGGGTTTCCTGCCATCAGCTTGGCCCAGCTCCGCTTACGGGGCCGGAGCTGCTGGTCCCAACTTCCCTTTCCAGTCTCCCTGCTCCGGTCCCTCCGGCGCCCCGGGAAGGCAGAGCATGCGGCCCCCAGCGCTGTGTCCAGCGTGGAGCAGAGCGAATGGGGGGGCTGTGTGGGCGACAGCCCCTTTCCCCCCCCCCCCCCAGCAGTGCCTGGCAGATCTCCCTCCCCTCAGCCCAGAGTGGCTGGAGTTAGCTCTATATGCGCCCCCCCCCCGGCTCCACTCTCCCCATCAATGTGCCCTTTCTCTGAACAAAGCTGGCCCTGGGGGCTGGGCTGGGCAGGGGCGGCAAAGGGCCCCTCTGCCAGGGCGCCAGGCTGAGCACTCTCCGTTTCCACCCGGCGCATCCCCGACAATGGCTCCCTTGTCCAGCCAGCGCGAGGAGCGAGCGGATCCCTGGGGGGCAAGGGGGGCTTCCGGGAAGGGGCTGGCGCCCGGGGCGGGGCTGGCTGGTCCCACGTGAGCTCCCCCGGCCCAGGGCGCTCAGCGGGTCTCTGCGCCCTGTGGGGCCTGGGCCCCAAGGAAGGGGCACGTTAGAGCTGAATTTGTCTCCAGGCTCAGGGCGTCTGTGGACGAGATGACAAGCTCAGGGCTGTTCCCAGCTGGGATAGCAGCTAGCGTGGGGGGCTGCGGGCTGGGAGTGAGGAGCATCGGTGGAGCTTCCGTGAGGACCCCAGGGTTGGGTTAGGCTAGCAGGGGGCTGTGGGTCGGGAGTGAGGGGCACCGGCAGAGCTGGGGGGAGGACCCCGGGGCTGGGCTAGCAGGGGGCTGTGGGTCGGGAGTGAGGGGCACCGGCAGAGCTGGGTGGGGGGCAGGGCGGGGCTGCGGGTCGGGAGTGAGGGGCACTGGCAGAGCTGGGGGGCACCCCGGGGCTGGGCTAGCAGGGGGCTGCGGGTCGGGAGCGAGGGGCTGCCAGCCATGACAGTGCAAGGAGGCAGCAGCCGCTTGCCTGGCCCTGTTGCCTGTCCGGCCCCATCTCTGCTGGGGGCTGTTGGCTCTCAGGGCAGGAAGCGGGGGGCGGCTGGGGCAGTTACACTCCTGCTGGCAGAGAGCGAGTTGTCTCCAGGACGCCCTTCTCTAGGGTTTAAGGTTCATGGAGCCTTGTCCTGGGGCCAGCTCAGCCTCAGCCTCGTTCTCTGCTAGCCTTGGCCCCTGGGATCCCTCAGCACCTGCCCCCCAGTGGGTGGGATCCCCCCTTGCCCTACAACTGGTTGGTCCAGTGCCCGGGGTGCCAGCCAAGCAGCCAGCAGGACCCCTGTGACTCCTGGATCCCGCCTGCCCCCAGGGTGCAGCCCGGGAGTGAGGGACTCGCTCGCCCTCGCTGGGGCAGGGTGTGGGGCGGGAGCCCTGGCATTACCACGCGGCTCGGGAACTTGGGGCCTTGCAGCCTCTCTCCGGGCCCCTCGGCTGGCACTGGGCAGCAGGCGGCCTGGGTCACGGTGGTGGTGCCAGGCCATGGTCTGGCCCTGTGCCCCCAGGAGCCCGCAGGCCCCCGAGTGCCCTGACGCCCTCCCGTCCCCTCCCCGCAGAGCTGAAGGACGTGGCGAAGCGGTTCTCCAAGGCGGGCGTGTCCCACTACAAGACGCTGACGCTGGGCGAGGCCGAGAGGGTGCTGTACGTGGGTGCCCGTGAGGCCATCTTCGCCCTTGCCACTGGCACCATGGAGCTGAAGGCAGCGGTAAGAGGGGGCGGGTCACCACAGGGCCTGGGAGTGGCCCCCAAAGCCTGGCGGTGCCCCCCATCTAGGGGGACGGGGCCACGAAGGGTCTGGCTGGCCTGGGGGTGCTGGTTAAACAGCCCCTTGGGGAGCGGTACCCCCTGCTGGGCACCCCCTGAAGGCGGGCGTGTTCTCCTGGCCGTGCCCTGGGCTGGTTGCTGGGCACCTTCTCTGCAGGGAAGGGGGGGTGGCTCTTGACCCAGCTAGGAGCCCCCCCAGATGTCGGGGAGCGTGGAGGGCTGAGCCCTGTGTGGCTGCAGGAGATGGGGGGTGGGGCAGGACCTGGGGGGCTGGTTCGCCCCTGACCCCACTCCCTCTGGCTTGGCAGATCTCCTGGGAGGCTCCGGCAGAGAAGAAAGTGGAATGTATCCAGAAGGGCAAGAACAACCAGGTACGTCAGCTGGGCACAGGGGCCCCGGCTCCCCCCTGGCCTCGCCCCATGGGCAGGGCCCCCCCTCCTGAGCCCACGGGTCTGTCCTGCAGCCCCTGCTGCGCGTGGGGGGCAGGTCCCGGTGCGGCAGGGTGACGGCACGTGCCACGTCCCTCCCCGGGCTGGGGGAGCTTGCGGGGTCCCACATCCCCAGGCAAGTTCTGCTTGCTCCATGGCCAGCCCTGCCCTGGGGGCGGGGGGACCCCCGATAGACCCCCCCCCGCCCACTAACCAGCCCCTTTCTCCCCAGACCGACTGTTTCAACTACATCCGCTTCCTCCAGAGCTACAACAGTTCCCACCTGTACGCATGCGGCACCTTCGCCTTCCAGCCCAAGTGCACCTACATCGTGAGTACGGCCGGGAGCGGCTCCTTGCCCCGCCCCCCCGCCGCGCCCCCGGCCGGGCCGGGCCGGGAGCGGCTCCTTGCCCCGCCCCCCCGCCGCGCCCCCGGCCGGGCCGGGCCGGGAGCGGCTCCTTGCCCCGCCCCCCCGCCGCGCCCCCGGCCGGGCCGGGCCGGGAGCGGCTCCTTGCCCCGCCCCCCCGCCGCGCCCCCGGCCGGGCCGGGCCGGGAGCGGCTCCTTGCCCCGCCCCCCGCCGCGCCCCCTGCTGGGCTGGGCCGGGAGCGCCTCCTTGCCCCGCCCCCCCGCCGCGCCCCCTGCTGGGCCGGGCCGGGAGCGCCTCCTTGCCCCCCCCCCGCCGCGCCCCCTGCTGGGCTGGGCCGGGAGCGCCTCCTTGCCCCGCCCCGCCCGCTGCGTCCCCTGCTGGGCCGGGCCGGGAGCGTCTCCTTGCCCCGCCCCCTGCCGCGCCCCCTGCTGGGCCGGGCCGGGCGCGGCTCCTTGCCCCGCCACGCCCCCGGCTGGGCCGGGCCGGGAGCGGCTCCTTGCCCCGCCCCCCCGCCGCGCCCCCGGCTGGGCCGGGCCGGGAGCGGCTCCTTGCCCTGCCCCCCCCCGCCGCGCCCCCGGCTGGGCCGGGAGCGGCTCCTTGCCCCGCCCCCCCGCCGCGCCCCCGGCTGGGCCGGGCCGGGAGCGGCTCCTTGCCCCGCCCCCCCCGCCGCGCCCCCGGCCGGGCCGGGCCGGGAGCGGCTCCTTGCCCCGCCCCCCGCTGCGCCCCCGGCCGGGCGCGGCTCCTTGCCCCGCCCCCCCGCCGCGCCCCCGGCCCGGCCGGGCCGGGAGCGGCTCCTTGCCCCGCCCCCCCCGCCGCGCCCCCGGCCGGGCCGGGCCGGGAGCGGCTCCTTGCCCCGCCCCCCGCTGCGCCCCCGGCCGGGCGCGGCTCCTTGCCCCCCCCCCGCCGCGCCCCCCGGCCCGGCCGGGCCGGGCGCGGCTCCTGCCCCGCCCCCCCCGCCGCGCCCCCGGCCGGGCGCGGCTCCTTGCCCCGCCCCCCCGCCGCGCCCCCGGCCGGGCGGCTCCTTGCCCCGCCCCCCCGCCGCGCCCCCGGCCGGGCGCGGCTCCTGCCCCGCCCCGCCGCGCCCCGGCCGGGCGCGGCTCCTGCCCCGCCCCCGCCGCGCCCCCGGCCGGGCGCGGCTCCTTGCCCCGCCCCCGCCGCGCCCCCGGCCGGGCCGGGGCGGGAGCGGCTCCTTGCCCCGCCCCCCCCCGCGCCCCCGGCCGGGACGGGCCGGGAGCGGCTCCTTGCCCCGCCCCCCCCCGCCGCGCCCCCGGCCGGGACGGGCCGGGAGCGGCTCCTTGCCCCGCCCCCCCCGCCGCGCCCCCGGCCGGGACGGGCCGGGAGCGGCTCCTTGCCCCGCCCCCCCGCCGCGCCCCCGGCCGGGACGGGCCGGGAGCGGCTCCTTGCCCCGCCCCCGCCGCGCCCCCGGCCGGGACGGGCCGGGAGCGGCTCCTTGCCCCGCCCCCCCCCGCCGGGCCGGGACGGGGGAGCCGGGAGCTCCCCCTGCCCCATTTTGCCAGTAGAGGCTGGGAGTCCGAGGTGGCGAACGAAGCAGGGGATGCTGACAGGTGCTGCCCGCTGCGTGGCCGGGGTGGAGCCGAGCCGTGGGGCGTTCTCAGACCCGGCTGTGGGCCCAGCACAGCCCCGTCTCTGCAGGCTGTGTCCCGCCGGGCCCCACTGACCCTGCGTGGGGGGCATCTCTTTCAGGAGCTGTCCAGTTTCTCCCTCAACAGGCTGGCCTTCGAGGATGGGAAGGGGAAGTGCCCCTACGACCCGGCCAAGGGCCACACGGGCCTCATCGTGGGTAGGTGGCGCCCTGGGGGGGGCTCTGCTGGGGGCCTGCGGGCTGGGCCGGGGGGTGTCCGGCTGGGCTGGGCTGGGGCCTAGGGTGCCCGCGCTGGGGTTGGGGGTGGGGTGGTATTTCTGCCCCGTGCACCCAGTTAACCCCTTCTTGGCCATGCCGTCCAGATGGTGAGTTGTACTCGGCGACACTCAACAACTTCCTGGGGACAGAGCCCGTGATCCTGCGTAACCGGGGCCCCCACTACTCCATGAAGACGGAGTACCTGGCCTCCTGGCTGAATGGTGAGGGGGGGCACAGGCCTGGGGGGCTGGCTGAATGGGCGGGGAGAAGGGCCCCGGGGCCACAGCTCGCACAGTTGGTCCTGCAGCCCCCTTTCTGTCGCGGGAGGGATTCTCACTGGGGGGGGGCTCTGAGAGGAGCCCCCTTGGGCCCCCCAGTACCAGCCCATCCCACTGTGGGTCTGGCGAGCTGTAAGGCCTCCTCCTGGGCTCCTGCTACCCAAGTCTGGGTCTCTCCCCATGTGGCCTCTGGCCGGCGGGGAGGCTGCATCGCTGAGCTGGGGGCTCTGGGGGAGCGGGTCCTGCAGCAGCCCGGGGGGGCCGTTGGAGGGGGCGCAGCAGGGCATCTGGCACCAAGCGTGACGGCTGGGGGGCCCGAGCGGGGAGCTGGAGGGATGTGGGGCCCAGGAGCCCTGGTCTCATGTGTCCCCCGCCATTGCAGAGCCCCACTTCGTGGGCTCAGCCTACGTGCAGGAGAGCGTGGGCAGCAGCAGCGGGGACGACGACAAGGTCTACTTCTTCTTCAGCGAGCGGGCCGTGGAGTACGACTGCTACGCCGAGCAGGTGGTGGCCCGCGTGGCCCGGGTCTGCAAGGTACGGCCGGGAGCTGCGGCAACCAGCCCCCAGAGACGCTGCGGCATGGCTGGAGCCCGGGGGGCCGGGCCCTGGGGGGGGGGACCCTGGTGGTGGCTCGGTGTCGAGGGGGGCAGGAGAGCTCCCGGGGCTGGTGCCAGGCAGGCTGGGCCAGGGCATGGGGCTCTCGGGGTCTGGCCTGTCCCGGCCCCTCACGTGGTGCCTCCCTCTGCCCAGGGGGACGTGGGCGGCGCCCGGACCCTGCAGAAGAAGTGGACGACGTTCCTCAAGGCCCGGCTGGTCTGCTCCATCCCGGAGCAGCAGCTGCATTTCAACCGGCTGCAGGCCGTGTACACGCTGGGCGGGGCCGGCTGGCGCGACACCACCTTCTTCGGCCTCTTCCAGGCTCGCTGGTGAGCACGGCGGGCGAATGGGGAGCCCCGGGCCACTGGGCATCCCCCCAGGCCCTGCTGCCTCCGTCCCACCTCCACAGACCCCCGCCCCTCCGCAGCCGGTGCCAACCCTGCCATTGGGCCTGTCTCCCCAGGGCTGCCCCCCAACTCTCATACGCCCCCTCGGGCCAGGGAAGAAGCTTTCCCCTGGCTCCCTCCCATCCCCCAGGCTCTGCCCCGGCCATCCCTCCCAATCCTCCCAGCACCCCCAGCCCCAGCTCCACGCTGGGTCTCACCCTTCCTCCCCACAGGGGGGACGTGGACGTCTCTGCCGTCTGCCAGTACCACATCGAGGACGTGCGCAAGGCCTTCGAGGGGCCCTACAAGGAGTACCGGGAGCAGGCCCAGAAGTGGGGCAGGTACTCGGACCAGGTGCCCAGCCCCCGGCCTGGGGCGGTAAGTGCCACGGGGACTGGGGGGACCCAGCCATCACAGCGGGGAGCGCCAGCTGCTCTCATCTCTGCCAGGGACCACCCCCCAGAGCAGTGCCCCCTTGGGGGCTGGGTGGGCACTCACCAATCCCCACCCCAGGGCTAAAAGGGGTCCCCCTCCCAGCGCGGGCACTTCAGCTGCCTCTACCCCCCAGGCTGCCAGCTAAGCTATGCCCTGCCCCCCAGGTTGGTGGTGTCCTCTGCCCTCACTTGGTGCCTGGCCCCTCTGGGCTGAGGGCTGGGCGCTGCCCGGCCCCGCACTGACGCGGCCCCTCTCCCCGCAGTGCATCACGGACTGGCACCGGCAGAACGGTGTTGCCAGCTCGCTGGAGCTGCCGGACAACACGCTGAACTTCGCCAAGAAGCACCCGCTGATGGACGAGCCGGTGCTGCCATGCCACAACCGGCCCCTGCTGCTCAAGAAGGACGCCAACTTCACCCGGCTGGTGGTGGACCGGGTGCGCGGGCTGGATGGGGCCTCCTACAACGTGCTCTTCATTGGGACAGGTACCCACCAGGGCTCTGCTCCCCCTTCCCCTTCCCTCAAGAGGCTCAGCTCTCCCCCGCCACCAGCCTGGGCCCAGCCTTGCCCAGCGGGGGGGTGCGATGGGGGGAGGGGCCGCTTTGGGAGCTGGTGAGCATGTGATGGGGGGCAACCTGGGAGGTGCATCTCCCAGCTTGGGGTGGCCGAAGCGTTACTGGGGGCACCGTGGGGATCCTGCAGGAGTGATGAGGGCTGCCCGGGGCCCCTGCCCTGCGCACGGCTCCCTGCAACCCTGCCCTGCGGCTCTTCCAGGTGATGGGTGGCTCCACAAGGCCCTAGTCCTGCCCTCCCGCGTCCATCTCGTGGAGGAGCTGCAGGTCTTCGAGCCGGCGCAGCCCATCGAGAGCCTCGTGCTGGCCCGCCAGAAGGTAGGGGGCGGGGCACCTTGGTGACAACCAGAGGGCAGTGGGGGGCGGGGTAGAGCACAGGGAGTGTGTGTGGGATGGGAGATGTCCTGGGCTGTTGTGAGTGCCGGGATAACGGGGTGCCGTGGGGGAGGGGGCCAGGTGTGGGGGGGATAACCAGGAGGCTGTTGGGGGGCGGGGGGGGGGGACAGGGTATGGGCAGTGATGGCTCTAGGCTGCTCCATCTGCAGTGATGTGTGTGTCCCTGCCCCCCCCCCAGAAGCTGCTCTTTGCCGGATCTCGCTCCCAGGTGGTGCGGCTGTCCCTGGCCGACTGCGCCAAGTACCGCTCCTGCACCGACTGCGTCCTGGCCAAGGACCCCTACTGCGCCTGGAGCCGTAACGCCAGCCGCTGCCTCCGGGCTGACGGCGCTGACGGGTGAGGGGGCCGCGGGCTGAGGGAGGGGTCATGGCCTGCGGGCCGGACGCTTCCCACGTGGAGGGCAGGAAGGGGCTGCCCCCTCCCAGAGGGCCCTGATTAGCATCTCTCTGCCTTGCCCCACCCCACTGGAAGGTCTCCTCCTCCCCCCCCGGCCGGGCTCTGGCCCCCATCCGGAGCAGTGACTGCCAAGGGGCAGTGACTGGCTTGGCGCCCCACGGGGACAGCTGGGGCTGTGCTGACTCTGGGTCTCTCTCAGGTCCCTGCTGGTCCAGGACGTGGTGAACGCGGACACGGCTCTCTGCAACCTCCTCCGAGCAGCCCCCTCAGGTGAGAGGACACCGGCGCCCCTCCCCAGGCTGGGAGCCAAAGGGGCTGGGGGGGACATGCACTCTGTTAGCTTGGGGGGCCCCCTCTCAGCGCGGGCTTGGGAGCCAGGACTCCTCTCTGTGCCTTAGTTTCCCCAGCTGGACAGCCAGGCTGACGGGTGCTGAGGTACCTGCCCAGAGCTGAAGCTGCCCTGTGCTGCAGGGTTTGGGTTCCTGTCCCAGGGCCTCTCCTGGGTCATCCCCAGGACCTGGGTGAAGGGCACTTGGCCCCTGGGCTGTCAGGCCAGTCCATGACTCAGCCAAACATCTCCCGTGTACCCATCCTACAGGCCACAGCCACCCCCCATGCCCTGCCGGTCGTGGCACAGCCCAGGTGCATCCATGTGCCCAGCTCCTGCCGCGGCCTTTGTGAAACCCGCAGCAACGTCAGTGCCCACGGGGCACGCGCTGTCTCCAGGCTGGTCCCTGAAGCCTCAGCAGAGAGGCCTAGGCCAAGCCCTGGGGCTGGCATCGCCCGCGGGGCATCCCTCTGGGGCAGGGCTGTGGGATGGGCAGAGGGCTGGTGGGAAGGGGGTCCAGCCCCCACCTCAGCCTGACCCCTTCTCCCCTCTGTCCCGCAGTTAAAGTCACTCCCAAGAACATCACGGTGGTGGCCGGCGCAGACCTGGTCCTGCCCTGCCGCCTCACCTCCAACCTGGCCCGGGCACGCTGGACCTTCGATGGGCGGGAGCTGGCCGAGGACCAGGCCTCGCTGCTGTACGACGCCCACCTGCAGGCCCTGGTCCTCCTGGGCGCGGGACCCCAGCACGGTGGCGCCTACCGGTGCTTCTCGGAGGAGCAGGGCGCGCGCCTGGCGGCCGAGGGCTACGTGGTGTCGGTGGTGGCCGGCCCGGCCGCCACGCTGGAGGCCCGGGCCCCGCTGGAGAGCCTGGGGCTGGTGTGGATGGTGGCGATCGCCCTGGGCGCCCTGTGCCTGGTGCTGCTGCTGGGGGTGCTGTCCCTGCGGCGCCGGCTGCGGGAGGAGCTGGCCAAGGGCGCCAAAGCCGCGGAGAGCACCCTGGTGTACCCCATCGAGCTGCCCAAGGAGCCCTCCAGCCCCAAGTTCGTCCCCAGCGCCGACTCGGACGAGAAGCTCTGGGACCCGGCCAGCTACTACTATTCGGACGGCTCCCTCAAGATCGTGCCGGGCCGCGCCATGTGCCAGAACGGCTCGGCCACACCCTCGCCCCCTGCCAACGGCATCCCCGGGCAGCCCCTGGCCTCCCCGCCCCCGCACTCGCCCAGCCGCATCCACCTGGGCAGCATCCGCGGCTCCTCCTCCAACGGCTACATCCGCCTGCAGCTGGGGGCCGAGGAGCGGCCCGGCTACGGCGACCTGGCCGAGGAGCTGCGACGCAAACTCCAGCAGCGGCAGGCGCTGCCCGACTCCAACCCCGAGGAGTCCTCGGTGTGAGCCCGGGGCTGCGGGCCTCTGGCACAAGGCGCGGCTACCTCCGACCCGGCCGGGGGCCCCGGGCTCCCCCGCCCCGCCCCGCCGGGACGCTTTTGCATTTCAGGACACGCGTGGGACCCTTTCTCGAACGACCCCTGTGGATTTCGATACCCCGGGGTGGGCGTTTCACTGGATCGGGCCCGTTCCGGAGTCCGCCCCGGCCCTGGACTCTGCCCCCCTGGCTGGGCCCTGGGAGCGGCTGGTTGAGACGCACGGGCAGGTCCTGGACGGACGGAGGGGGCGCACGAGTCTGCCCTGGATCCTGGGTGGACGGAGCCTACTTGGGACCTGGTGCCTGGAGTGGATGCTGGCTGGATTTTGGAGGCCGGCTCGCCCGAGAAGCACGGCCTGGTGCTGTTGGCTGCTTGTGACTGCCCATCCTGGCTGGCATGGCACTGGCCGGTGGGCGCTGGCATGTGGGAGCGAGGGCAGACCCTGAGCTGACACAAGACGCCCTCCCAGTAACGTCGGGCAGGACTGCATTGCATGCTGGGAACAGGGCGCCCATCCCCATTACCTGTGGGCGGCAGTCCTTGGAGAGGAGGGGGGGAAGTCGGCTCTGGCCCCCTGAAGCGGGTGATCTCCCATGCCCCACGGCCTGCATGCTGGCGATGGGCCAATGGTGTCCTTGTGCCCAGGTGGGGGAGGGGCTGGTGGAATGGGGGGCTGTGTTCCTGTGCCCCCCAGGCCAGCTCAAACTGCAGAGATGGACTTGGTGACTTGGCCGAGGAGTGGAGGAGGTGGGGTGGGGGTCACCAGTGTAAATACCCCCCGACGCACCCCGCCTGGGTCCCTGCCCCTTGGCAAGCCACTTCCTGCCCCACTTACCCCCCCATCCTGCACGCCAGCTGCCCCCCTTTCCCCATCCATGTAAATAAGCAACAAGGACCCACCCCACCCCTGTGTAATTTATTTGTTACGGAAATATATTTATTGGCTGTAAATATTGGAGTATTTTTATATTAATAATAAAAGGGAGAGAAACCCCAGCCGGTGCCTGTTGCCGTGTGTGGGGGGGGCTGGTAGGTGTCGGCAGGTGCTGTGTTCTGCTCCCGGCTCTGCTGGGGTTGGGGTGGGTTTGAGAGAGACGTGGGGGTGGGCAGTTGGGCTGAGTTGGGGGGGGGGGGGCAGCACTGTGCATTTTGTAGTTAGCGCATCACCCTCCCCACGCACCCCCTGGGGCTTGGCCTCGCTGTCTGTGCCCAACCTGGGCCCTGCACCCCCTGCCCGAGGCGCCCGGGCCAAAGCGCGGGAGCCCTGCCTGGGCTGGCGGAGGGCTGTTCCCGGCCCCCGGCCTGTGAGCTCATGGAAAAAGGAGCGGGCGGCCTATAAAAGGGCATTGAGTCTTCCCAGAGTGGAAAAAGCCAGCGCTCCCCTGGGAGCTGGCCTCCCTGCCAAGGGGGAGGGCTGGGCCCTCGCCGGGCCTGGAGCACTCTTAAAGCAGCAGCCGCAGGGTCTCTGCCTAATCCGTGCGGCGGGGTGGGAGGTTTCTGTGGGTTGGGGGGAGCCTCTTGCAGCTTTGCCTCCCCACCCCAGCCCCCTCTGTTCCTACCCCTCTTGGGATCAGTGCATGGGCTGGCTGGGATCCCCCCTCCACCAACACAAGCTAGGACCCCTGGGTTCCATGCTCTACTCTGGCACTGCTCCCATGGGCCCAGGCTCACGGCCCTATGGAGAGGGGCCTGATCCTGCTGCAGCCCCATGGGGACAGGCATGTGTGGATCTGTGCTGTGCTCTGCCTGCCCTGGGGCATCAGGCTAGGGGGGTTCAGGGCACCCCACTGATCATCTCGCTCGCTGGCCTTTGAACCCTACCCCTCCTGCCGGCTTTGCAGCCCAATCCCAGGGTCCGTGCCTGCAGGCGCCTCTCAGAACTGTGCCCCCCCTCCCCCGCCCCAGCATGTGACAAGCTCTGCCTTGAAAGCCCTAGTCCTTCCCTTTCCCCAAACCACAGAGACTGAAAGATCCTGCTCCTCTAAAGCACAGGTGCAGCTTAGAACAGTCGTTGCAACCTTGTCACTCTCCAGATGAGCTGCAGCCAAAGCAAGTGCTAACCTGCTTAACCCTTTAGAGGCAGAGCCAGTCTATAGCTGAGACTTTCTGGGCAGGCCCAGCACCCTGCTCACTGGGGCGTGATGTGAATGTGGGGGGCGGGGGTTGCCAGCTGCCCAGGGTCCCCCAGGAGCAGCCCTGTGGGGTAGCTCTCGGAAGTCTGGCCAGGTGCTCGGTCCCTGCTGACAGCTGTCCGCTTTGCAGGGCCACCCCAGCGCTGGTGGCTCTCGGGGCTGGCTGGCCCAAGCCCCAGTCGATCCCGGTTAAATCCACAGGAACGGCCGGGCTCTGACTCCCCCAAGTCCAGCGTGTGCAGCGCCCGGGGGGACCGGTGCCATCCTGCTGGGGGCGCTGTGCGCTCAGGGCCTGGGGATGGGCGGGGCTGTCCTGGCCCCCTGCAGTCCAGTGCCATAGCTCCCCCTAGTGGTGGGTGGAGGAGCAGGTACTATTGAGCCCCATACAGACCCTCCCAGCCTTTGCTGGAGGGGCAGTGGACCCTGGCCAGCCCCTTTGCCAGGGCGGGGGGAGGCCGTGTGCCATGTTGGGCCCAGGCAAAGGATCTGCTTTTGCTGGCCCTTCGGCACTGGGGCAGGGGTGCTCCGTGGGGAGGGTGGAACAAAGCAGGAAGGTGGGAGGGGAGAGGGTCCATCCCGTCCTGTGGTGCAGGGAGGCCTTCCCCTCCCTTCCTGGCCGGGCGGCTCCTTCCCATGGCCATGCAGCACCAGGACATGCTCTCCAGGCCTGGCGCCACGTCCTTGCTAATTAATTACCGGAAACAGCTGGAGAAAGCGGAGCCAGCAAAGGGGGGTGTGCATGGGCCATCACCCCATCCCTCCATAGCTGGAGAGCTGCCCAAACCGCTTCCCTCATAACTGATCCTCACGGGAGCGTAGCATTGCTCCTTCCGCCCACCCCTTACAGCTGGGGAAACCGAGGCAAAGCCAGCTCAGGCCACCCAGCCTGTGAGCAACCAAACGAAGAGGAGAACCCAAGAGCCCTGACTCCTAGTCCTGCCTCCGAACAGGTGGCTGGGGTAGGTCCCTGCCTCGGACATGCGAGGGGCTACACTCCGCTCCAGGCGTGCAGCACAGCGGATGTGGCCATGCTGGGCCCTTGCCAGCTGCACAGTGGCTGGGGGATGTCAAGGAGGAGTGGGAGGGAGGCAGGAGCCGCCAGGAAGCCCGGGCTGTGGGACAGAAGGGTGTATGCTGGGGGGCGGAGCTGTGTCCTGATGCCAGGTCACCCCTCACCCTCCCAATGAGGGGCCCCCCCAGTGTGGCTGTCTGTGTACTCTGGGCCTTGCCAGTGGGGTTTTGCTGGGCCTGCTCTCAGAGCCCCCAGCGGGTGGTGGCCACGCCAGGGGCCCGCGGCAGGCTCCCACGGGCCGCTCCCTGAACCCGAGGAGGGCTTTGTGCCATGCCGTGGTGGCTCTGCCTTTGCACGTCCTCACTGGCCCTTTATCTTCCTGCCCTGACGGGAACTTCTGGGAAGTAGGTTGTGTAACAGCGGCGTGTCCCGGGGCTGGGCTGCTCCCCACCAGCCCTCCAAGGGGCGACCTTCTCACGGGGCTGCCCCAGGGTGGGCGGAGCCCCTCGGCAGGCAGATCACCCCTCTGCCTGCTGGGGTTCTGGGGCGGGTGGGCCAGCAGGCAGAGGGGTGTTTCTAGGGAGACCCCAGCCCGGGTCGAGCCAGTGGGTGCTGGAGAGGGGCAGGGGCACCTGGTGCCAGCTGGGGGCACCCTCCCCCATTGCAAAGTTTAATGAATTCAGCCCCCCCCCCCCCCAAATATTGCACTCCTGGGGACACTGGGGTTCTGGCCAGGGGCCGGAGCGCCCTCTGCTGCCTCCGCGGGTGGTTCCCATTCCAGTCTCCTGTCCCTCTCTGCCATGGGGCCTGCGGCCAGCAGGACCCCGGCACTGCTTTGTGGGGGGGGAGGGGGGAACGTGACGGAGCCCCAGGCCCCGAGCGAGCAGAGACGCACAAGCGTGCGTCAGACCCAGCCCAGGGCCGCCCGCTAAGGAAAACAAACCCGAGCTAGGCTGGGAAAATAAGTGTCCCATGAGAGCGCCGGGTGCGTTCCCCGCCTTGCCCAGCTGGCCCCGCCGAGCACAGGGGGCAGCGCTGGGAATCCTGGCGGCCAGTCCCTCCCTGGAGCGCAGCTTGGCCGCTGTCCAGCTGGCAGGGCTGGGGGAGGGAGATGGGGTCAGGCCCGGGGAGAGGGTCACAGGTTTTCCCAGCACTGGTGCCTGGCTCAGTGGGGCTGGGCCCAGTCCCCGATGGAGACGCAGGGATTATGCTTGATTATGGGAAATGGGGCTGCAGAGCCCCCCTGGCCTCACAGGAAAGCGCCAAGGGTCCGTGTTCTCTCCATGGCTTCTCTGGCCAGCCTGCTCCTCCCACCCTGCTGCCCCTAGACCTTGGCCCCACGCAGAGATGGACGTTGCTGGGCCATTCAACTGTGCTGATGGGGCAGGTCCCCTGGCCCACACAGGTCTGGGGCGCTCGTTCCTTCACACCCACCCCACGCAGGAAGAAGCTTCATAAGGAGGAAAGATACAGCAGCAATCGTGTCTAATGGTTAAAGCATGGGGCTGGGCGTCAGGACGCCTGGGTTCTGTTCCCTGTGCTGGGAGGGGTGTGCGCTGTAGTGGTTAGCACAGGAGAGACAGTCAGGACTCCTGGGCTTTATCCCCAGCTCCATCACTGACTTTGGCTGACCTTGGGCAAGTCCCTTCCCCTTGCTGTGCCTCAGTTTCCCCAGCTGTGAACCAGGACTAACAATACTGACTCAGCTTTGCAAAGTGCTTTGAGTCCCCCCTGTCCGGAGGAGTTGGCGCAATCATGGCTAGGGGTTGGAACAGGGCTAGGAGTCAGGACTCCTGGGTTCTATGCCAGGCTCCAGGAAGAAGCACAGACTAGTGGTTAGGGCAGAGTGTCAGGACTCCTGGGTTCTAGTCTCAGTTCTTCCACTCAGCGGCAATCTTGTGTGTCCCAGGTGAATCGGTGACTCCGTGGCAGGGGCAGGCTCCGTCTGGCCTCTCCTTCCTGGCGCTGCCCTGTAGGGTCGTTTCCCCTGAAGGAATTAGGCTCAAGGGAGAGGCAGCTCCTGGGGGGAGCCCAGCTCCGCTCTCATGGCCCCGGCTTCCCAGCCTGGGAAAGGGCAGCTCCTCGGGGCAGGGTTATGCAGCCCTGCAATTAATGGGAACCTGACGCAGGGCCTGGCTGCTGGCACGTCACTGTCAGGCTACGGCAGGGCAAGCGCTGCGGCTCACTGTGGGAAAGGCCAGGTCCCCCTGCACCAGCCAGCCGCTCCCCCGCCAAGCCCCAATGGGAACCCCGGTGGTGATGCCAGCACAACCAGCCCCAGGGAAGAACAACCCCCTCCTGTGGCCCCGGGACAGGTGCGATCTCTCCAGGCTGGCCCTTTCCTGGCTGGGGGAATGGCTCGTCTCCTTTCCTCACGGCCCCGCAATGCCAGGGCTCCCCGGAAGGCTGAGAGCTGCCGGGGGCGGGGGGGGGGGGGACCTGTTCTGGGCCAGCAAGAAACGGCTGGAATGTGCCCAGTGAAGATCCTTCCCCTCTGGGCTCTTCCCAGCCCGCCCCAGAGCTGCTGGTGGCCCATGGGGGAGCGTCACCCTGGCGATTCAAACCTATGGGTGCAGCTGGGTCTCAGCCAGGGGCCTAGGCCCTCAGGGGGGGATCATAGAATCATAGACTATCAGGGTTGGGAGGGACCTCAGGAGGTCATCTAGTCCAACCCCCTGCTCAAAGCAGGACCAATCCCCCAATTTTTGCCCCAGATCCCTAAATGGCCCTCTCAAGGATTGAACTCACAACCCTGGGTTTAGCAGGCCAATGCTCAAACCACTGAGCTATCCCTCCCCCCTGAAAGATTTCCCCCCCCACCACCTCTTTGCAGCCACCTCCTGAGAAGCGTCTCTTGTTTACAATGGGCTGGAACTGCCCGCAAAGTACTCACAATGCGTCGCTCGGCCCTCCTGTCCCGGCTGGCACGTTGCTGGCCCTGTGGGAAATCGCTAGTCAACAAGCTGCCCTGGCCTGTTGCCATGTGGAGCAGCTGGCACCTGCATGCAGCACCTGGGGGGCCAAGTTCCCTGCCCCTCCCGGGCACCGTGAGAGGGGCCTGGCAGGCTCCAGCAAGGGGGATAAGCAGGTACCGGTAACGCCACTGACCGGAGAAGGGCCCAGCCCATTTCCAGAGCCTGGGGCGCTCTGACCCAGCCAGCTTCCAGCAGACCAGCTTGCAGCGCACCATGGACCAGACACGGCTGGCGTACACCTGGCACCCCCGCCAAGGCCATCCACTGGGATCCGTCGCAATCCAGCCTGCACCCAGGACACAGAGCTCCCGGGCTGGCCTTCCTCCCTCTCCAGGGCTTGCATTAGCTCAACCCCAAGGTGAAGTCCCTGCACACCTGTATGACAGCTGCACCTCGCGGTCCCGGGGGAGATCAGGGGCCGGCTGAGCCAGGCCCTGCACAAACACAGAGTGAAAGACAGAGCCTGCCCAAAGCCATGTAGACCAGAGAGACGGGGAAGGTTCATTAGCCCTATTCTAGAGAGGGAAACTGAGGCAGCGGGGCAGTGACTGGCCCAGGGTCACCCAGCAAGTCCACGGAAGAGCTGAGAATTGAACCTGTGCCCCAATCCACCTCTGCAACCACCACACCTTCCCCCAGGGCTCCATGTCAGGGGAACCCACTCCGAGCAAGCGGCTGCCTGGCCTCCCGCTCACCCCAGGCTGCAATCAGAGGGCCTGGCTGGGCCACGCCAGCGCCGGATGTGAGCAGCAGCCCACGGCTCTGAACAGAGGCTGTAATTAAGCCAAGGAGCTCCAAAATGACAGGCACCCGGGCTGCATCTGGCCAGGGCTGCCTGTCATTTGGGGTCAGGGCTCTCCCCTAATGGGAAGGCTAGTGGGTTAATTTCAGGGTGCACTGGGCAGTGTGCGGGGAGCACTGGGCGACGGCTGCAGAGGGTGCCAGCCAGGACGCTGGGAGGGACTGCCCTGTCTGGGAACCCCACCTCACGTGGGGTTACCAAAGCACGTCAATGGCTGCTGAGCCACTCCCTGCGTGCCCCAGAGGTCACCGGCCAGATGGGATAAGGCCCATGCTACAAGAACCATGGGACGTGGGCCTTGTCCCACTGGGGAGAAGCCTGGGGGGCATCTGAGCCGCCCCACCGTGTTTGACGCAGGCCCATCTGGTGGTGGTGTGCATTCGGTGAGCTGGGCCATCCCAACCCTCCCCCTGGTAATTTACACTGATCGGCAGGGCTGCCACAGCTGGGAGGCCAAGGGCTGTGGGGCCGGAGCTCCCCCTTCAGCCAGGGCTGGCTGGTGGGGCATTTGCATGGCTCTCCAGCACGTCTCTCCTTGAGCTGGGGGAGCTGCTGGCAGGGTTGGGATCCTGCTCTGGAGGGAGGCCAAGGACAGGCTGTAATGCAGCCACCTGGACGGATCAGGTGTATGGGCATGGCCTGCTCCGGCGGGTGGGGGGAAACAGGACTGGGAGCTGCAGAGTGACCTCCCAAAGGAAGGGGGCTGGGCGTGGGGCTTGTGCCATGGGTCTGCAGGGCAGGAGAGCAGAGGGAGGTGGGGGAAGCGGTAAATTAGAGGGGCCTCCCCTGCTCCCCTTGGAGCTCTGGGGCCCGCCTGTCTCCAGGCCCCTAAGCTGGGCTCTGCGTGATGCTGACCCCAAGGCTGGCTTTGGCCCAAGCAGTGTGGACGCCTGGTGCTTTGGGGTGGGGGGCTAGTGAGAGGGGCTTGCCCCACTGTCGGTGGGGAGGAGTCTCCTCCATCCCCATCGAGACCTGCTGGGACCTGAGTGTCTGGAGCGAAGGTGCGGGTGCGGGGTTCCAACCCCATCAAAGCCCCTGCCTGGGTTACTGTGCAGCCCCCCCACCCCAGTGCCACCGTGTTTCCTGGGGGCCCCTCACAGGCGGGGGGAGATCGGCTGCCACCTGCCAGGCTCTCCAGCATGGGCCCCTTTCCGAGGCTGCTGACCCGGAAACCTGCCAGGTGCCCCGTGCCCACGGCGACGGGCTCAGGAGGGTCCTGCAGCTCCCGGTTTTGTACCTCAGCCGTGGCAGCTCTGTGGGAGCGTGGCCGTGGGGGGAGGATGTGCGGGGCAGGACACCCCCCGCGCCAGCAGGAACCCCGGGGCCAGGAGCAGCGGCGGGGCTGGAGTCCAGACCCCCAGCCTGGCATCCCGCGCTGGCATCCCCCTGCCTGGCATCCCGCGCTGCCCGGGGCCAGCGTCCTGCGGGTCCTGCCCCGGTCCAGCCGCGGGCGAGGCCGGCCCCTGCCGAACTCAGGCCCCGGGCAGCGCGGCCGGCCTGGCACCGCCGGGCCGCCCCCGGGCCCGTGGAGGGGGAGCCGGGCTCGGGCCCCCCGGGCGCACGTGGGAGCGGAGCCGGGCCCAGCTGGGCCCCTCGCCCGCGCCCCCGCCCGGACCCTGCGCTTCGGGCGCCCCCTGGCGGCTCCGCGCTGCCAGCGCGCCCGGGGAACCGGCCCTGGCGGGGGGGGGGGAGCCCGGGGCCGGCGAAGGCGGGTCGATCGGCGCCAACCGGAACCGGAACCGGAACCGGGGGACTGGAACCGGGGCTGCGCCCAGCCCAGGCCGGCGCGGGGCCGAGGCTGCTTCCCGCTGCCGGACCCCCCCTTCCCCCGCAGGCGGCGGCCCGGGGATCGGGGATCCGGGATCGGGGCCCCCATGGCCTCCTCGGGCCCCCCCGGCTCCTGCTGCCCCCACGGGCCGGCCGTGCCCGGCGCGCACCAGACCGCGGCGGAGATGGACTTCGAGCGAGGTACCGGGGTGGGGGGGAGCAGGGACCGGTCCCGCCCCCCCGGCCCCGGGCAGCGGGTGAAGATCGGCCCCGGGGGGCGGCCCGGCTGGGGGGCAGGGCGGGGGCTGCGGCTGGGGGGCAGGGCGGGGGGGCCCGGGGCGGATGGGGGGGGCTGGCCCCTCCCCCACGCCCGGGCCCCAGATCTCGCCTCTCTCCCTAGGGGTCTGGTCGGCCGCCCTGGACGGGGACCTGGGGCGGGTCCGGAGGCTCCTGGTGGAGAAGCGGGTGGATCCCAGCCAGCCCGACCTGGCCGGCTACACCGCCCTGGTAGGTGCCTCGGCCGGGCCCCCCAGGCCCTTCGGGGGGACGGGGCTGGTGCGGACTCCCTGGGGCAGGGTAAGGGTGACACGAGCTGCTGGGCCCCGGCTCCTGTGACCGGCCGGCCTGGGGCAGGGGGGAGATGGGGGGGTTCAGGGGCGGGGGCCCCCGTGGGGCCAGGGCTAGACTCGGTGGAAAGCTCCGGCCCCCCGGGAAGACGTAACCGCCCCGTGGCTCAGCCCCACGCCGGTGGCCACGGAAAGGGCAGGAGGGCACGGAGCCTGTGGGGTTCCCGGCAGCCGGTGCCCAGGGTGCCAGCCAGCTGGGCTCAAAGGGGAGGCAGGGATGGGATCCAGCCTTGTGACCTCGTCGCCCGGCGCCCACCGCCCGCTGCCAGCTTAGCTAGAGAGGGGGTTGACCCCAGATAGCTAACCTGGCGCACTCTGTGTGTGTGGACGCTCTTCAATCCGGGGCCACCTGCCTGAGTGCAGGTCCAAGGGGAGCCCCCGGGGCTGGGCCCACGCAGGCCACACGGCTCGCACCCACTAGGCTCCGCTCTCACCGGTGTGACGTCTGCGTGTAGACAAGGCCTGGGATTTAACGAGGGCTTGGCTGGGAGGTCTCGTGGTGGAGGGCTGGTGGGATTCCCGAGGGGATGCCGTTCCCCGGGGGGAGAGCGGGCGAGCGTTACTTACCCAAGGCCGCAAGGCTGGGCCCAGAGTTTGAACTCGGGACGAGAGCTGTGTGCCCATGCCCTGTCTGGTGCTAAAATGCCATGGCTTGGGTGGGGGATTAAATGGAGGTTCTTAAATAGTCAGATCTGCTGGAAGCTTGTCTTGCGAGCTGGGCTGTGATCATGGTGTCCCTCCCCAGAGCCAGCTGCACTTCAGGGCAGACCGAGGCGTCCCGGGGCTGGGTGGGCAGAGCACTTTGAGGCGTGGGGGGCGGAAGGAGCTGAGCGCGCAGAGGCGGCTCCTGAGGTGCCCTCTTCCCTGTGTTTCAAAGCACTACGCCAGCCGCAACGGGCACGGAGCCGTCTGCCAGTTCCTGCTGCAGAGTGGGGCCCGGTGCAACGCCCAGACCCACGGTGGGGCCACCGCCCTGCACCGAGCCAGCTACTGCGGCCACGTGGACGTGGCCAGGCTGCTGCTGGCCCACGGAGCCGACCCCGGCATCGTGGATGACGACGGCATGACAAGTTTGCATAAGGTGCGGGGCTGGGGCCCCTCCCCCCCGCTGTCCCCTTGTGGTTCCCTGTTGCGGGCGGGGGTCTCAGTGCACAGCACTGCCCCCTGCAGGCAGACCTGCCCCAGCAGGTGTGTCGCTCGCCCTCTGCTGGCTGCAGCGGACAACGCCACTCCATGCCTGGAGCCGGGAAGGTCCTGTTTGCGCAGCCGCGGGCTGCAGGTTCTGTTCCCGGGCCCCAGGGCCGAGGTGGTTCGATGGGAGGCTGTGGGGCTGCAGAGTCAGCACCCTGTCCTGCGCCCCAGCTGGGCCCTGGTTCTCTCCCCTTTGCTGACAAGAGACGTCTCCTTCCTCCACGGGCATCTGGTTGAGCGAATACTCCCTATGGGTCCGTGCCGCACCCTGCCCCCCGCCCCACGGGAGCGCGCGCCCTGCCTCACTCCTGCTCTCCTTTCGCAGGCCGCCGAGCGAGGCCACCGTGAGCTCTGTGAGCTCTTGCTGCGGCACAGCCCGGGGCTGAAGGGCGTCCGGGACAGGAGGGCCAGGAGCGCACGTGACCTGGTCCCCGGCAGCGGTGCCTTGCGGGACCTCCTGGAGCCCTGAGGGCAGCGCGCGGCGGGGTGGTGCCGCCCCAGGGTGCTCTGTGCTTTGTCTCCCCCTCTTGGCCTGCTGCGGGATTGCAGCCGGTGCTGCCGTTGGGCCCTCCGGCCTCTCCCGAGCTGTCCCTGTGCGTGCAGCCCTGGGGTGATCTGGGCGCGCACCCCACTGGGCGGCTGCTCTGGGGAGCCTGCGGCGGGAGAGGGGAACGGGCACAGCTGGGCAGGGAAAAGGAGGGAACCGCTATAAACCCTGTACGTGTCCCTGGCTGCGGGGAGCCACGTTCGGGGGCTGAGATCAAGGGGAGTCCAGCGAGACGGCAGGACACCCGGAGCCGCCAGGGTGCCCCTGCTCCCAGCCTGCACTGCTGATGTCACCACGCGGGGGCTCCCACTGTGCTGACCTGGCCTCCGCAGGCAGGGAAGAGGCTGCGGGCTCCGCTCTCAGGCAGCTGCAGTGGCTGGCGGCGGGGTGGGCCTCTGGGGGGCAGGGGCCTGTGTCCAGCCCTCTGCGTGAGCCAGGCACCACTGCCCAGGCCTGAGCCAGGCTCCGAGGGCCACACGGCTGGCGGGAAGCTGAGGCAGCCATGTTGGTTGTGGGCATTGAGAGACAGGCGTGGGCTGGTCCCCTGTGCTGGGCACCACGGACCCCGTCCAGCAGGGGCTGCAGGCTCACATCCCCTGGGAGGAGGAGTCTGGCTGGGGTGAAGGCCGGTGGCCTGCTCCGTGCCCAGAGCAGATGGCAGCACGGTGCCAGGCAGCGTCTGCTGGGATTTCTGGCCTGGCACCGTGGCTAGGGCTGCTGTGGGCTCCTCTCTGTGCCCGCAACCCTGAGCTGGGGGAGATGGGGGGCTGAGATAGGTTGTCCCCCTTCATGGAGCTATTTCAGTCCTTGGTACTGGGCTGGGGAACCGGAACCCCCCCAAGGATCTGGTGCCAGGATGTCGGGCTTCCCCACCATTAACTCTTCCCCGTGTGTCCCGCGGGGCTGGTCTCTGGGGTCCTGCCCTCTGCTGGGGAAGATAGGTTAGTGCCCACCCCTGCCCTGTGTTGCCTGCTCCTCTATCCCCTTGCTGTTCCGCCCCGCTCCACCCCCTCACCGCCCCAGCAGGAAGCAGGCTGGGGGTGCGGTCCTGCAAACATATCCTCCCCACTTGCTCACAGCTGGATTGGAGGGGACCAAAGGGGAAAAAGGGGGAGGGAAGCCCAGACCCCTCCCCATCTATTGCACAGTGATCTGGCTGGGGGCAGGGTGGCTTCTTCTACTCCCCCCTCCCCATGCTAAAGGAACCCCCCCAACCATAGGCCCACAGAGAGCCACCCCTCCCACCCATCCCCAGTGCTAAGCGGAGGTGGAACAGGGGGGCTGCCCTGTCTCCCAGGGAGGGTCCAGCGGAGCCCCCCAAGCTGTGGTCAGTGGAAACTGCATGGAGGGCAGGCCCAGGGGCTGGGAGGTGGACGCTGAGCCTCAGACAGCAGGGCCAGCCCCGACCTACAGGGGAGAGCGCCCCCTGTACTCCCTGCAGCACAGCGCCCCCTAGTGCCAGCCCCGACCTACAGGGGAGAGCGCCCCCTGCTGGGCGCCCACCATGTTCCCTGCAGCACAGCGCCCCCTACTGCCACACTAGGGCCAGCCCCCTGCAGTGTGCAGTGTCTTTGGGAGGTGCCCTGTTTCTGGGGGGTGGGGACATGCTGGCAGGGCATAAATTCATAATAAATCCCTCACCAACTGCACTGTCCCTTTTTTGTGTAAACTCACCCTGACGAACCTACGCGGAGATGGGAGCAGTGTGGGGCAGGGACTGTCTTTGTTCCGTGCCTGTGCGGCGCCTGGCAAGGGGGGCTGGGCCAAGGCGGGCTCCTGGGGGCTGGGCTGGGCACATCGTCCCGCTAGCCGCTGGTGGGGCAGACGCCTGCTCCCTGCCCCGGGTCCTGCGCTGGTCCCCGGGCCGGTCTCCCTGGTGCTGAGGCGCGGGGGAGGCCGAGGGGCAGCGTGGCTGGGGGGTTACCTGCCAGCCTAGCACGGCAGGAGAGCTGGGTTCCAGTCCTGCCTCGGCCAGGCCTTTGCCCCAGCTCTGTGCCTCAGTGTCCCCGCTGGGGACGGGGGGGTGATGGCTGCTGGCAACGGGCTCTGAGGGGGTGGGGGCGCTAGAAGGGCTCAGGGCTGTTCCCGGGGCTCTCCGGGGAGCGTTGCCCGGTCAGGGCACCCCATGGCAGGGCCCTGTGGGCCCCGCCCCGCTCCCTTCGCTCTGGGGCCGGGCCGGCGCTGCCCGTGGGCCGCCGGCGGGGAGCCCGAGGCGGAGCCGGGCGGGTCACCGGGGCCGGCGCCGGGGGTGGGGGGCGGACCCGCCGCTGGGATAAAAGCAGCGGGGTGGGGCGAGCCGGGCGCGGGCGGACCATGGAGCTCATCAGCGTCCAGCAGCTGGTGAGCGGAGGGTGCCCCGGGGGGTGGCGAAGCCCGGGGAGCCGTGCGGGACACGGGGGCGCTGCGCTGCTGGGCCCGGCCGGAGCCCTTGGGTCGTCCAGGGCGGCGGGTTCGCTTCACCCCAGAGGTGGCTGCATTGGCCCAAGCCCCGTCCGCGGGGCGTGCGCAGCCCCCCTGGTCTGCGGGCCAAGGCTGGGGGCGGGGCGGTCCCAGCCGGACTCTCCTTAGGTGCGGGGAGGGGGCCTCTGGATTGACTTTGGGGCGGGGGGGCTGGTTATGGGGCAAATGTCTGCTCCCGGCGGCAGCGTCGTGTGTCAACCTGGAGGTCTCCAGGGCGCTGGGCTGTGGCTTTCCTGGGAACAGACCCGGCTGGGGGCCCCACTGGGCTGCCGCCCCCCATTGCGGTGACGTGGCAGGTGGGGGGTGGGTTTGTGGATGGGGGGATGCAGGGGACTGCCAGGGAGCTTGCCCCCTCACCCCCCAGAACGGGGCACTGCCCCCGGGTCACCCCCTGCCCTTGTGATCTCCGCAGTCCCTACACGGCGGGTCTGGTGGGATCCCCCCTTGCGCCGCCCCACTCGCCTGGGTCTGGCGCCTGGCTAAAGCCCCGGGGACGAGGGGGTTGGGGGAGCTGGTGCTCAGTGCCGCGGGGGCTGTTTGGGCAGCCCCTGCACTGGCCCTTCCAGGCTGGGCCAAGGCCGCTGTGTGACTCGGCTGTTGCTTTGTGGGTTGCTGGCTCAGTCTGCCCAGGGTGGGCTGGGTACCCCCTGTTGCCCCTTGGCCCCTGGCCCTGCAGGCTTGTTGGCACTTGTTTGCCCTTGGGCAGCATCCACCACACGTGCTGTTTATTTCAGGCGGGCCCCAGCCCCTGGAGGGGGTATAAATAGGGGCTGACGCTGCCCTGGGCCCGGACAGGTGCACGGCCGGAATGCCAGCCGCAGCCAGCGGGGCGCCCGGGCAGCCGTGACGGGAGATGGCAGAGCAGGGACTGGACACCCCCTTCCCCTGGGCGAGCAGGGCCCAGCCAGCCAGGGAGCGAGTGATCCGGGGAGAGCTGTGCGCAGCCCGGAGCCGGGCCTGCCAAGGGCCCAACGACCTGGGAATGTCCCGTTCGCACCCCCGCACTTGGCACCAGCTGGGGAGCGCGGAGCTAGTCATGGGGAGCCGGGCTTAGCACTTCCAGCCTCCTCTCCCAGCGTCCTTCTGTGAGCCAGGCTCCCGCTCTGCCCTGAGCCGCCCCTGCTCTGTGCCTCTTTCCCAGCTGTAGAGAAGGCCTGGCCTCACTACACCCCCTGAGTTTTAATTCATGTTTGAAAGGTGCATCCCATTCCCTGCCCCCTGAGCCAGCCAGTCTCCGTCCTGGGGCTGGATGGGAGCCAGCACCCCCCAGAGGGGAAAGGCCCCGTGTCCCATTCACTGCCCCCGAGACAGCCAGTCCAAGCCCTGGGGCTGGAACCAGTGTCCCTGGAGGGGAAAGGCCCCGTGTCCCATTCTCTGCCACCCTGAGCCAGCCAGTCCCTGCCCACCCTGGGGTCAGATGGCAGCCGGTGCCCCCTAGAGGAGAAAGGCCCCATGTCCCATGGGGATGCCCCATCTCCTACATTTCATGCCCTGGCTCCACCCTCTACCTCTCCTGCCCCCCCTTCTCCCCAGGTAAGTGGCGACAGGTATGAGGGGACGGTGCGGGCCTTCGAGGTGCTGGCGAGGGGAGCAGCACAGGAGCCCGAGGGCTGGCGGCGCGGCGTGGCCGGGGTGCGGGATGCCGTCAGCAAGGAGAAGCAGAAGGTGAAGGAAGAGAGGAGGAAGAAGGTGAGCGGCTGGCCCCTGGCAGGGTGGGGTGGCCACAAGGGAACTCCGGGGACAGGATCCTATAGGATCCATAGGGTCTTTCCCCAGCCCCGGTGTCTAGCTCTGTGAACTCTGTGCTTGCTTGTCCTGCTCTGTGAAGGCCAGAATGGCATTTGGTGCCCCTCACTCCCGACCCGCGGCCCCTGCCGTCCCAGCCCTGGGCTTCCCTCCAGCTCTGCTGGAGCCCCTCAATCCCGTCCCCCAGCCCTCTTACACCCCAGCCCTGGGCTCCCCCACCCCCTTCTCTGCTGGAGCCCCTCACTCCCGTCCCCCAGCCCTCTTACACCCCAGCCCTAGGCTCCCCCACCCCCTTCTCTGGTGGTGCCCCTCACTCCCGACCCGCGGCCCCTGCCGTCCCAGCGCTGGGCTCCCGCTCAGCGGAGAGCACTGAAGAAGTCAGCGGTGGTCTCCCTAGGCTGGTGGAACCAGGTGTCTGGGGGACTCTAGCTCTCCCCCCTTGACTTAGAATCTGACCCCCTTGACCTGGCTTTGTGCCAGGAGCTCAGACGGGCCTAGATGCCCCTGGGGGGACCGAGTGCCCAGTTCCTGTCCCATGCTCAGGACAACCCCAGCTGGGTGTGGCATGGCCCCAGGTCCTGTCCACTCTCCTGGGCGGCTGGTGCCGGCACCAGGCATGCTGGCTCTGCCCTAACCTGCACTCTGACCTGCCCTGGCCAGCTTGAGACGCTCAACAGCTCCCGGGTGCGGCTGGAGAGTCTCCAAGACCTGGAGGACATTGTGAGGCTGCGGAAGCACAAGAAGAGCCGGACGCGGGTGGTCCGCCCCAAGGAGCCAGAGCCAGAGCCGGCAGTGACGGTGAGCGACACCCCAGCCGCCCGGCCCGGGATGGGAGCGAGGCCGCCGGGGGCTCAGATCACTCGGTCCCAGCCAGCTGCGCTAGTCCGGAGCCAGCGACCCCTCCTCAGGGGCTGCTCTGCCCCCCTGCAGCGGTGGCTGGAGCCCTCAGGGGGAATGGGGGGGATGCTGGCGAGATGCTCTGAGCCAGCTGGGCAGTGCCCCGGGGCGTGGGGGGGCACTGCCCGGGCACTCACCCCTCCCTGTCCGCCCTAGGCGGAGCCTGTGGATGCTGCGCGGTTCCTGCAGGCGGTGCTGGAGAACCAGGTTCCCACGATTGACAAGTACCTGGCGGACGGCGGGGACCCCAATGCTCACGACCAGGTGTGAGGGCCGGGGGAAGGGCGGGTCCTGGGGCTTTAACCCAGGACGTGCCTTGAGCGAGGTTGGTTCTCGCCACGAGCCCAGCCTGCGGCTGAGCCCCTCTAGGTGCCACGGGACGTCCCCTGCTCGGGCTGACGCCCCGTGGCCGGGGGGATCCGGCTGGGACCTTTGATTGGCGGGGCTCCCCCGGCAGAACGCGCCTTGGGGAGGGTGTGCCCAGCCTTGCGGGGGGGAGGGGGGCAGTGATCTAGCAGCTGGAGCGCGTGTGTGTGTGGGGGGGATCCAGGGCCTCGGGATGGCGGGGGTGTCATAGAGCTTAAGGGCGGAAGGGACCAGCTCACCCAGTCTGACCCCCCTGTATATCCCAGACCACCCCCACCCACGGACCCAACAACCACAGATCCCAGCCCTCGGGAGCCCGGGCTGGCATGTGCCCCAGGCGGAGAACAGGAGGGACTGAGGTGCCCAGTGCCCCGCAGTGGCAGGGAACGATGACGTGAGATACACCCTGGCAAGGGACCCACCCCCAACGCTGCAGGGGAAGGTGACAAGCTCCCAAGGTCCCTGCGTCTGACCTGGGGGAAATTTCTTCCTGACCCGTCTCAGGCCACCAGGGAGACCTGGGGGTCTGAGCCAGAGCCGGCCAGCCATGGGCCTGAGACAGAGAGAGCCCGGTGCCCCCGCAGAGCCCGGCCCTCCCCATGGGCCCATCCCCAGCTGGGGCTGCCCCTTGTTTAACCTCCCAGAATACACTGGGGGGAGGGGGGATCTCTTCCTGACCCTGGCGGGGGGCCAGCTGGAACCTGAAGCATGAGCTTTAGGCACATGGGAGTTCAACCCACCCAGCCCGCCATGGTCCCAAACGCCCCGGCCAACCAACGCCCCCTCTTGTCGGTTTGTCCTGCGCGCGCTTCAAACCCGTGATGGTGTTTGGCCAGCAATGCCCATGGGGGGCTGTTCCAGAGCCCGAGCCCTCCGGCGGTTCGAACCTGCTGGCTCCCTCGTGCCCGGAGCGTGTGTGTGTGTGGAGGGGGGGGGGATCTAGCGCCCGGAGCGCGTGTGTGTGCGTGGAGGGGGGATCTGGTGCCTGGCTCCTGGGGAGCTGGGGCTGCGCTGCCCAGGGCAGGAGGGCAGCGGGGACCCAGCGCTGAGAGCAGCTGGGGTCGCCTGGCGCCGGGTGACACGGGTCTCTGCTGCAGTTCAGATGCACGGCGCTGCACTGGGCCTGCCTCCGGGGCCACACGGAGCTCGTGGACAAGCTGCTGGCGGCTGGAGCCAGGCTGGAGCCCAGGGATATGGTGAGCGAGCGTCTGGTGCCCACAGAGCCGTCCCCCTGCCGGGTCCCATGGCCAGGGCGCTTGGTGGGGTCAGAGCCCCCCGGGTCCTACTCTGAGTCATTCCCAAGGGCTGGCAAACCTAGAGACTCTGAGAACCAGGCATGAGCGCTGGTGACCCGCAGCCCCCCGGGGCGCTGTGACCTGGGGCCCAGGGTCCGTGTCCCCGAGCAGCCCGGTGCCCTGGACCCCCGGCGCCTGACTCTGCCTTCGCTCTGCCCAGCTGGAGGCCACGCCCGTGCTCTGGGCCTGCCGCGGGGGGCACCTGGAGATTCTCAAACGCCTGCTGGACAGAGGAGCCAAGATCTCCACGCGGGACAAGGTGAGGGGCTGGGGCTGGCAGCCGAGAGGGGGCAGCACCGGGGCCCGCTGCCACGGCCGTGAGAGGTGGCTCCCTCGGGGGGCTCTGCTGGGGGGAGTGGGTTTCCCAGCACCGATGGGGCAGGCTCTTTCCCTGCTCTCAGTCCCGTTTTGATGCCAGCCTTTCCTTGGCTCTCACTCTGCGTCCAGCCACCTTCCCTACATCACTCCATCCCACCTCTATTTCCCTTCACTTCCTGTCCTAAACTGGAGTGCGATGCAGGGGTGAGCCTGATCAGTGGAGACAGGGGCTGGCACCAAGCTGTCCAGGCCAGCTGGCAGCTCCCTCCCCGCTCTGGGCCTGTCCAGCAGGGTGTGCGCCCCCCAGGGAGCAGGGGCACTGGAACGGACAGGGCCCCCAGCTGCCCTCCAGGTTAAAGGCGAGGGTGGCTGGTTGGGGCCTGGTCCGAGCTCCCTGCCCAAACGTGCTGTGGAGGGGGGAGAGATAGCTCAGTGGTTTGAGCATTGGCCTGCTAAACCCAGGGTCGTGAGTTCAATCCTTGAGGGGGCCATTTAGGGATTTGGGGCAAAAATTGGGGATTGGCCCTGCTTGGAGCAGGGGGTTGGACTAGATGACCTCCTGAGGTCCCTCCCACCCCGATAGTTTGAGCTTCTATGACCCCGGGGAGGGGGTGGCGCTAGAAGCGGGGTATTGGGGGCTGTGGGGAGGGGTGTGCGCCCCAGGGGTGTGTTGCCATGGTAACGGGCCCTTGTTCCCCTGCAGCTGAGGAGCACGGCGCTGCACGTGGCCATCCGGACGGGGCACTGTGAGTGCGCCGAGCACCTGATCGCCTGTGGGGCCGAGATAGACGCCCAGGACAAGGTAGCGGCCCGGGGCCTGAGCCCCCAGCCTCACTCCACGGGGCACGGCCCAGAGCCAGGGGCCGGGGAGCAGGCGCAGAGCTGTGGCTTGTACCCTGGGCTGGCTGGGCGCCGCGCAGGGCCCCAGAGGCAGCTGCATGGGGGCAGGGCTGTGCGTGGGCAGGGGCGGGGGCAGTGCCAGGCATGTGCCCTGGTCCCGCTGAGCTGCCCGTGCCTTTGGCTGGCAGGAGGGGGACACGCCCATTCACGACGCCATCCGGCTGGGCCGCTTCAAGGCTGTGAAGACCCTGCTCATGTACGGTGCCAATCTCAGGGTCCGGAACCAGGTGAGCACCGTGTGGGGCTCCCCCGGGGACAGCCTGGGAGGGCAGGGGCTGCTCCCTCTGCCCAGCCTGGGGGGCTGTAGCCAATGGTAGAAACCAGCCACCCCCAGAGTGAGGCTCCCTCAGCCGGGAGCCCAGGCAGTGCCCTACCAATGACACCCTGAAGAGGGGGCTCGGGCTCCTGGGTTCTAGCCCAGCTCTGGGAGGGGCTCCCATGGGAGTCTTGGCTGATTGCAGGATCCCCTGGGGAGAGCTCCCCCCATGCTGACCCCCGGGCCTGCCCCATGCTGTCTGCACAGCACTGCCCTGGCCAGCGGGCTCTGCCCCCTCCCCGGACCGCTCATGTAGCGTGCGCCGGGTCCGCAGCGTCCCAGTCCTTGCCTAGTGCCGGGGAAGGGGCTCATGCCCACCGGCAGCCTAACAATATCGGCTCCCCGCAGGAGGCCCTGCGACCCGTGGACCTGGTGAAGGACTGGCAGAGGGGCATCCGGCAAACCTTGCAGGCGTGTGCCAACCGGCAGCGCCCCCCTCGGCGGCACTGATGTAGCAGAACCAGCGTTCATTCCCCCCCCCACCCTCCCCCCGTGACCACCAAAGGGGGCGGGGGGGACCAGGGCGCTGCCCTGAGCTACCCCGGTGCCCCTTGCAGGCTGTGCTCATCCTCACACGGCTCCCACACCTAGCCAGGGGACACCAACCTGGGGACAGTGCCATCCGTCCTAGCGGTGCCCTTGGGGTGGGGTGAGGTGAGGTTTGAGGTTGGTCCTAGGCAGAGGATTGACCCTGATGCTCCCCCATTCCTGGTGCCCTGGGGATGCTTCCCTTTGCCCAGGTGAGTCACTTGCCGTCCCTGAGGGAAACTGAGGCATGGAGGGGCTAAGCCTTGCCCATGGCTGGTTAGGGGAAGAGCTGCTGTCTTTCTCCCAGCTGCACTCATCTCTCTGTGGCCAGCACCAAAAGGAGAGGCACTGCCCTGGGGTCTGAGCTGACCCCCCACCTGTCCCTGGCCTGACCCCCGCCCCTCTTCTGGGCAGGCGAGCCCTGCGGCCTTCCCAAGGCTGTGTGCTGTAGGGAACACGGCTGCCCCCAGGGCCTAAGCATACAGCCCCCACTGCACCCCAGTCAGCTGGAGGCATGGGGCTAGGCTTGGGGTGCCCCCTAACTGCGGGGAGAGGCTGACCTGGCCCTGGGGGTAGAGCATGGTGCAGTGAGATGAGGCGGCAGGGCCCAGTCCCAGCCCAGGTTCCTGGCTGATGGAGGCAGACAGCTTTCCCGGCTGGGGGAAAATGGGGGGGAACCTCCTGCCCTCGGCCGCTCCCACTGTCAGTCTGTGCCCTGGCCCAGCTTCTGGCCATGGCAGCCCCCCCACCACCGTGGGCTGGCAGGGCCTGGCCCCTCCTTATACTAGTGCCTGAGAGGCTCCTGTTCCCCCCTGCACCCAGCCTTGCCCTTGTCCCCCAGCAGCCAGCCCCACAGCAATGAGCGTCCCCTGGGCTCAGGCTCCAGCCAGCGGGGAACAGCAGCAGGATAGGACATGGCTGATGGCTCGCGGGGCAGGGGGTGCCCCCTTCGCAGCCTGGCACAGGACAGGTACGGCCCCCTCTGGCCTGCCTGGAGGTTGTTCCCGGAGCGCTGCTGTCCCAGGAGCCGAGCTGGTTGAGATGCCCGCGGGGGCAGATAGGGAGGATGAGGGCCAAGGAACCCATGACTCTCCAGCCAGTTAGCCTGGAGCCGGGCAGCACCCACACCCCGCTGTGCCCCAGGCTGCCCAGCATGGTCCTTGCCCTTCTCCCAGCACTAGGGGAAAAGTGCCCAGGCCAAGAGGCAGATGGTCCTGCTTCTCTGCTGCGGGCTTTGGGTGAGTCCTGCCCCTTGCCTCAGTTTCCCTCTGTGTAAAATGGGGCTAACAGTGAGTGGAGCCAGCTTCCAGGACCCCCTAGCAGTGCAGTGGGTGAGCTGCAGCGTGCCCCGGGTTCATACCCAGCCCACAGGCAGCTCTGAGCCGCGGGCTGCCGTCTCAGCGCTGCAGGTCAGGCTGAGAGTGTGTGGGTCACCCTGGTTGGATTTCATGTGCCCAGGAAGCTGCTGGAGCATGGCCCCTGGGCCCCATCTCACCCCCGCTGGCACAGGCAGCCCGGCCAGAACCAGTACCAGGTGCCACCGGAGCTGTTCACACTCGGGGGGGGCATGCAACGTGGGCGTAGCAGACAGCAGCGTGGGCTTGCTACAGGGCTGCCCCCCTTCGAACAGTGCTCAGAGCAGGGCCCGCTGGCTGGTAGAGGCTCCAGTGCCCAGCGAGGGCAAGGAACCTGCGCCCAGGGCCGGGGGGGTAAGGCTAGAGGAAACGGTCCCTGCACCCCTGCCCTGGGTCACTGCCTGGAGTGGCCCCAACGGGGCCCCAGGCCTGCCGGGACAGGCACAAGGAGGCAGCAGGTGCAGGCTGGTGCAGCCGGGGATCTGCTCTGGCCGCAGCCCCCAAGGGGGGGCTCCAGGCCTGCAGGTGCCCGGCCCCGCCCCAGAGGCACGTGAATAAAGCTCCATGGCAAGCAGCAGCGGTGGTGTGGTCTGTGCCCACCCTCGCTCCGCAGGTGCCATGCCAGGGCAGCGGAGGGGCGCGGGCTGCTCTAGGTGGGGCAGACGGGGGGCTGGATCTCAGCTTGGTTGGTTCACGCCAGGTATTCCCCTTCCCCCCCCCAACGCAGGGCAGCACCGCATGAACTGTGCCAGCAGGCGCCCCCCCCCCCTCCAGGAGAGCACCCGGCCCGGGCACCTCCTTTCACTCCCGCAAGGCGCAGAGTGGGGCGGGAAAGTGACTCGCCTGGGCCCTGGGGTGGGCGTTTCCTGCCCTGTGCCAGGTGGGTCACCCCCTGGAGGTGGTGGGTCTGCTCTTGGGGGTTAACGCAGGGCAGTATGGGGGGCGGGCGCCCCTCGCGGGGAGCCCCTGAGGGAGCCTTCACAAAAAGCCTGGTCCTCTGGCCGAGAGGAGCCCTGACAGCTCAGGCCACTCCGGCTCTGGCCGAGAAAGATGGAAGCCCCCCAGCCCCCCATTTCCACCCCCCACCCCACTTAACTGCAGCACCTACCTTGTGCCCTAAGATCCAGCCAGGGCCCTCCCCGCTCCGCAGCCTGTCAGCCCCCCCCCCACGCGGCGCACAGTCCCTGGGAACGGCACAGACACGACAGGGCAGATTACAACTCCTTTACCTGCGTGGCCCCGGCTCTTCGCCAGGCTCTGCCGCTCCAGAGACACTCGGCTCCTGGCGCCCAGCTTCACACGGACTGAACACACTGGCGGTGGAGATGAGCACACAAGGCAGGTGTCCAGCCCGGCGCCCTGTGCTGCGGCTGGCGGCCCTGCGCCCGGACGAGGGGCGGGCCCGGCTGCAGGCGGACTGCGTCCATGGCAGACCTTTCGCCCCCTGGCGGCCGCGAGCTCTCCGGGGCTGGCGGCCGAGCAATGTCCCTGCGCCCACGTGTGGGGATCTCCGGTCCATAGGGCTGCTCAGGAGACCATCTGATGCTGTCTGCAATCAAGGCACCAGGTGCCTGGGGCCCCTGTGATCGCTCATCCTTGGGGGGTAGGGCAGGGGAGGGCTGCAAGGACTGTGCCCCCCAGCAATCAGCCCAGTTGACGGATGGGCAGCCCCACCGGGGCCCACTTGTGAAGACTGGCAAGGCCAGAGCTCCCAGCCTGCCGTGTGGGCTCTCTGCTGGCAGCCACTGGAAGGGGCTGGTGGCGATGGGCCCTGGCTCAGGAGGGCAGGGTGTTTCGCACTGAGTGGCCGGGGTGGGGTGGCACCCAGCGCCCCATGGGGAGGGAAGCCTAGACAGGTAGCTGATCACACGGCTCTGCCCTGGGGCAGGCCAAAGAATCCCAGCAGGACTCCTGGAGCAGAGCTGGCTTGGCGGGCACAGGGGAATGGCCCAGGCTGATGCTGGCAGAGGAGAGACAGCCCAGGGCAGCCTGGCAGAGAACACACCAAGGAGAGGAATGCCCAGTCCAGGGACACACACAGGGCACCCCATGGAGGAACCAGCCCACAACCCGCCACCTGCATCTCTCCTGCGGCCCCCACCCAGCTCGCCAGGTGCCCCCAGCAGGTCTGGTTCGATCTGGGCGCGCTGCTCCCTGGAGGTTTGTTGGCACAGACGCTGCCCAGGGCTCCGGCCACTGAGGGGGGACTGGGGCGATCTCCCGTGGACTGGAATCCAGCTCTGGCTGCCCTGGCAGTTGGTCCTGATGCAGCGAGATCCTCTGGAGCAGAGTCCAAGTGGCTGGCATCCTTCAGGGCAGCAGGGGGGTGCGGAGGGCGTCTGGGGCATCCCGCCCCATGAGATTACTGCTGCTGTCAGGAGAGTCCCCGGGGACCAACTGCCAGCCAAGGGGCGGCTAGGACAGCCGGGAGGATGCTAGCCTAGAGCTCCCACGCTGACATCAGCGGGTCCTGCGGGGGGGAGGGGCTCCATGCCCGTGCTCTCGTCTTCCCCAAGCGGCTGGCTGCTTTTTCCTGGTACCAGAGCAGAGAGAGCAGCCATTACACGCCCATTTGGCCCCAGATCTCTAGGACCCACAGATCCCAAAAGCCCTTGCACAGATGGAGAAACTGAGGCAGGGGGAAGGGTAGGGACTTGCCCAAGGTCACGCACAGGCCAGTGGCAGAGCTGGGACTAGATCCAGGTCTCAGCCCAGTAGGCCACGCTGCCTGCTGCAAGGCTGGGCCCAGGAGCTCCCGCCAGCAGTCAGTGTAACCAGGGAGACGGCTCCAGCTCAACCCCCTGCCCCCCCACCCCCCCACGGCTGTGTCCTGGAGCTCGGGCTGTGCTGCAGTGCCGTGACCCGGCCTGGACCATGGGAGCCAGGAACGCGGGGGGCTAATTCCCCTCTTGACCCACCACCCAGGGCGTGGGGCCCCGTTCACCAGCCCGAGCAGGGAACAAGGCTTGTGCTGGGGGCCATGGCTCCCTGGCTGAGCAGAAGGGAAGGCCGAGCGTGCTGGCCACGCTGGGCCGCCAGCACCCTGCCTGAGGGAACTGCTCTGCACCCCGGCTGCAGGGGGCGTCACTGGGATGGTGCATGAGCATCCGGCAGCCACAGGATTAGGACGGAGACAGCCAGCCCCTGGGGACTGGCCAGGCCCCTGCACTGGTCACAGCTCCCAGGCCTGGGAGTCAGAGCAGATCGAAGGGAACACTCCCCACCCCGAGCAGAGCAGGGGGAGAACCCTGCTGTACCAAGCGGACAAAGGTCCAGATATTTACCTCCTGCCCATCAGTAACCCCAGGGATCGCGCAGAACCTGCCATCAACTGCAGAGCTCAGGGGTGCCCAAGAGAGAGCGCGTGGCTGGACAGAGCACAAGAGAGAGATGGTCAGCCGCTGAAAACGAGGGAAGAGAGAGTGAAAGACACGACACGCGGGCGGGATTATCGGCCGAGCTGGGGGGTGCCCGCCAGAGCATGCTCCCAGCAGCTACCAAGCAACCCTCAGCTGCTTCCTGTGGAGAAGAGCAGAGATGGGGAGCACCTGCTGAGGGGGCTGGGAGAGGCCAGGGTCCCCAGGTCACTGCAGGGGTGCTGGGCACGGAGAGGTGAAATGGGGCACACAAGACTGGGCAGCACCGGGCCATTCCAGGGGACGCTGGAGACGGGCACTGACTCCAGACATCCCCGTCCTCAGCCCTACAGACCCTCCATCCCCAGGAGCGCAGCGTGCTGCCTTCCAGTTGGGTCAGAGAATGAGCCCAGCCAGCCCGGACCAGGCCTCCCTGTGACCAATTCTGGAGTCGCCTGCCCCGGGGAAGTTCCTTCCTGACCCCTTCCGTCACGCCCTGCAGCATGAGGGTTCATAGCTGGGGGAGGAGCCCAGGGCACAGGCCGCCTCGTCCTCCAACACAAAGACACGCAGCCAGTTGGCGAGCAAAAGGAAACCTGGCCGAGACACCAGACACAGCCACTGCTGCGGAGAGCCCCGCCTGCGTGGGCAGCAGCGAAGGGGTTAATTGCAGACCCGCATGCAGCAGTGGGGAGAGCAGGAAGGGGTGGGTGCAGGCAGCCCGCTGGGCTCGGATCCCGAGTCCTCACGCAGCAGCCAGGACGGGGTCTGGGAGCTCTGGAGCTGGCCACAGCCTGCCCAGCCCATCTGCACTGGGCACATGGAGGCCTGGCGTGTGCCCCCCCTGAGCAGCCCCCAGGGTGCTGTGCTTTGGGCCACTCCAGTGAACGCCAGCTAAGCAGACCTCCAGTGCTGCATGGCAGCCTCGGAGAATGCGTTTGCACCGCGTCCCCTGGGTGCGACCACGGTACCTGGCACAGTGTTCCTGTCGTCCAGGAGCTTCGTCTGGCTGTTGGGGACGATCTTCAGCTCCACGCTGTCGGGCGACTGGGGGGATGGCTGTATCCTGGAGGCCATCAGGGCGTTGAGGTACTGCAGCCGGGTCACCTGGGGGAGGTGAGCCAGAGCCCTGAGCGCGCAAGCCCACCGGGCACAGAGGCCCGGGTGCTCCCCTTTCCTGGCAGGGGCCCAGGTTCCAGCCCCAGGGCTGGGTGCTGTTGGGGCTCCAGCCAGCCCTCCCTGGAGGAATGGTGCTCACCCGGGGCCAGGCTAGATGGGTGCAGCGGCTCCAGAAAGGCTGCTGTGTGGGAAAGCAAGAGAGACCCAGAGGGGCGCATGATCCCTGAGAAAAGGGGACCAGAGCAGGGATGGGGCAAAGCACCCCATAGGCGTCCCCAGAGGTGGGGTCTCCCAGCCAGGGAGGAGGCAGAGGTGCGCAATCACGAGGGGACAGAGGCTGCCCCAAAGCACAGTGCCACCAGGGACACCCCAGGGTTTGGGATGCTGTGTACCTCCCACAGGTCCCGGCTCTCCTTCAAGCACAGGGGGACGTGGCCAGAGACCCGAGGAACGGCTGAGCACCAGCAGAGTCGTTTCACTTGTGGCATGCTCCGAATCTGAACCCAGATGGTCCTAGGGGAGAGCCAGTGCTGGAACCCTAGCAGGAGGTAGCAGTCCCGGCTTGCTGCTCCTTCCCGAGGGCAGGGTGAGGCTGCACACCCATTCACCCAAGTGAGGGGGCAGTGTGGCTGTGGCGAGGATCACACCGTGCAGCGGCTTATCGCCTTGGCAAGCCCGGCACCGAGAGCACAAAGGTGCGCGTCTGTAGGGCCCTAAAAACCCGGCTCTTTTCCCCCAGGGTTAGGGCTGGCAGCTCCCAGCCCAGCTGAAACAGCGGCGTTTCCAACGCCAGCGGGCGGCCCTTACCTTGATGAACTGCAGGTCGGTGAGTGCCCGGACGGTGTAGTCGGGGCAGTACGGGGGGCAGGCGGTGTTCTCGCTGCAGTCGAGCGGCTGCTCACACTGGTTCGGCCGCAGGGTGGACGCTGGCGACTGGTGAACTGTTGGCAGGCGGAAATCAGGGGCCAGAGGGACGGGAAGCCAGCGGGGAGCCCAACACCCCAACGGCTGGTTGGGAAGGAACCTGGTCTCCAGGTCTCCCCGCCCCTGGCCTATGGCCACACAGCCAGGCTCACCACCCCTTCTGCTACCAGCCAGCCAGGCCAGGAGCCGTGCAGAACTCGGGGCCTGGACTCCCCCCAGCACCGGGCTCTCGGGGGCGGCGCACACCCGTGGCCCCGCGGCGACTCTGCAGCGCTGCAGCCCCAGCCCAGAGAGCGGGCGCCAGGCCCCGGGGCCAAGCCCCGCTGCCGGTGGCCGGACGCAGGTGCTCACCCGAGGAGGGCGCCATCAGTGCCGAGACGCCGTAGTAGGTGAACGCGCCGTTCTCGAATTTCAGCCCCTCCTTCCCGATCTCCACTTCCAGCCTGCCCTGCGGAGGAGAGGGCCGCAGGTCAGGGGCAGCACTGGCCAGCTGCTCGCCAGAGGCTCCTGCCCCAGCTCAGCGGGGCAGAGGCTCCACCGTCACAGGGTGGGCAGTCAGTGCCCGCCCGGCTCTCTGCCCAGACCTGCTGCCAAGCTGGCATTGCCCCCCAGCCGGCCTCCCAAGAGCCAACGCGCTTGCGAACCCTGCGCCAACCCACAGCCTGGCTCCCCGCACTCCTAGGCGTGTGTAGCAGAGCAGCGAGATAAGGGCTCGGCTGTGCAGGGTGCTGCCCGGTCCGGTGAAAATGGAGCGCGGGAGGGGAAGAGAGGCGCGGAGGAGGACAGGGACGTGCCCAAGGCCACAGCCAGGGCCAGAAACCAGCCCAGGGCCCTGCCGGCTGGCAGATCTGATCTCGGGGGGTAGCAGGGGCAGGCCGGTACCTGCAGGACCAGGACGAAGTAGTCGACCGGCTGGCCACGTTGGTATAGGTAGTGCTCGGGGGCCAGGCGGTCGCGCTCGTTGAATTTCACTTCCTGGCTGACGCTGGGGTGCCTCAGGAGGTGCAGCAGGACCTTCTCGGAGACGCGGGCCGGGCTGAACAGATCCACCTCTGGTGGGGAGCGAGGGGCAGAGAACCCAGCCTGAGCCGCCCGCTCCAGGGACAGGCCGCGCCCCTGCAGGGAGTTTGAGGGACGGGCCCCAGTTGCTCCCCCTGCCCCAAGCCCAGGGGACGGACTGCGCTGTGCGTAACGGGGTCGGACTGGCAGCAGTCTGCCGGGGAGGCAGGCCAGGGGGAGCCCAGAGCCCTCTCCTGCCAGTGATCAGCCTGGAGATGCCCCTGGGCCTTTCCCCCCCGGCCTGCTGGGCAGGAGCCGTGGAGCCAGGCGGGGGGCACAGGGAGGGATGGCCGGCGGGCTCCCTGCCCTGACTCACCTCGGGCTAGGAAGCGCTGCGTGGCCAGCAAGAGCTGCGGAGAGATCTTCACCTTGTGCTCGTCGTCAGAGCCTTTGAACAAGGAGAAATCTTCCTTCCTGTGCTCCAGCAGGGTGCCCATGGGGGCCGGCCTCTTCCGCACCTTGTTCTCCTCTAGGGCACGAAAGAAGGGGACAGGGCAGGCCGAGCCAGCGTCACACCAGCCGGCAGCATAAACCTGGTCCCCGGACTCTGGGGATCCCCAGAGCAGCTGCAGGCCGATGATCCCAAAGCACAGTGCAAAGGCACCTCAGCACCTCCCACCTTACACAGGGAAACCGAGGCACAGACAGGGAAGGGACTTGCTTTAAGTCATGCAGGAAACAGCGACAGCTGGGAATACAGCACTGCAGCGAGGCTCCCCATGCTCCCACTAACTGCTCGAGCCCACAGCTAGGAATGGACTGTGGGCAACCCACGTTCCCCGCTCTCCTGAGGAAGAGCTTGGGGGCAGTCCTGGGGGAATTCGCATTCTGCTGTCAGCCTGGCTTGGGCCGGGGGAGGAGAAGGGGCTGGGGTATAGGCAGGCGAGGAGCCGCCTGCACAGAACAATGCACCCGGAGCACTGCCCGCCTGCCACTGCTGTCCCCGGGGTTGACTCTGCAGCCCCCCAGACCCGAGCCAAGCTGCTGGGCGCGCCGGACGGGGCTCACTCACTGTAGTCGTCCGACTCGTCCAGGATCTCCGACCTGATGATCTCCTCGATGACGTCCTCCAGTGTCACCAGCCCCATGGCCTCGTAGAAGGGGTCACCCTCACCCTCGTTGTTCACCTTCTGCACGATGGCCAGGTGTGATTTGCCTGGGGGGCGGGTTACACAGCTTGCTACAGGTGCCAGGGAGGCCTCAGAGGTTCAAGGCTACCCAGCAAGTCAGGAAGAGAACCCAGGAGCCCAGCTCCCAGCCTCATGCTCTGACCACTAGAGAACTCTGCCTCTCCATCCTGATGCAGCTTTTTATAAATAACTACGGAGCAGCAGAGGAAGGGTGGGGCAGAGCAAGGGGCTAGGCGGCAGCCTCCTTCTCCTGCCCCCCAGCACTCTCTGTCCCCCCACTCCCAGGCCGGACATTGCAGCAGCGAAGATGGCCAAGGGAGAGATTTTCCTCAAGGGCCCTGTTCGGAGCAGGGCCTTCCCTCTCCCGGCTGGGGCTCAGCAGCGCCGCGCACAGGCCAGGGACCACAGTACACTCCAGGGAGCCGAGAGGGATGCGTGGGGTGCTTGTTCTTGGGGAGCCCTCAGGTGGCTGGTATCCAGCCCTGCCTTCTTCCCATTCTCTGACTACGGGACTCACAGATTCCAACAGAAGGGACACGGGGGTCCAACTGGCAACCTGCGGGCCAGATCCAGCCCTCAGGACCATTCCGTCTGGCTGCGCACCATTTTGCTCTGCCAAACAGCACCCTCCATGCGGGGGGAGTTTGTGTGCACCGTACGGCTGAGGTCATACACATGGAGGACACCTTTTGGGTTGTGTATGTTGCTTGGGGAGGTGCCACACGCCTCAGCATACTGCCCACATCACTGAACAGGGTGGTCCTTCTGTACAGCACCAGCCAGAGAACTGCCCCACAATACCTCCTAGAGCAGCGCATCTGGAAATACAGCCAGCCTTGATTTCAAACTGGGCAGCGACGGAGAATCCACCATCATCCATGGTGAATTGTTCCACTGGGTAATTACCCTCCCCGTTACAAATGTGCACCTTATTTCCAGTCTGAATTTGTCTCGCTTCAACTTCCAGCCATTGGATGGTGTCAGATCTTCCTCTGCTAGACTGAAGAGCCCAGTATGAAATCTTTGTTCCCTACGTAGGTACTGATAGGCTGGGATCAAGTCTCTTTGTTAAACTAAATCAATTAAGATCCTTATATCTCTCACTCTCAGGCAGGTTTTCTAATCCTTTGATCATTCTCGTGGCTCTTCTCTGCCCCCCTCCAATTGATCAACATCCTTCCTGAACTGTGGGCACCAGAACCGGACACCGGATCCCAGCAGCGGTTGCACCAGTGCCAAATACAGAGGGAAAATCGCCTCTCTGCTGGAGATTCCTCCGTCTACATCCCAGGATTGCATTAGCCCTTTGGCCACAGCATTGCATGGCTTGTTCATGTTTAGCTGATTAACCCCCATATCTTCTCCAGAGTTATTTTTTCCCAAGAAAGTCCCCCATCCTGAAAACATAGCCTGCAGTCAATGCTCCCAGATGTGTACATTTACATTTAGCTGTATTAAAACACATTCTGTTTGCTTAAGCCCAGTTTCCAAGCAAACCAGGTCTCTCTCTATCAGCGACCTGTTCACTTCATTATTTGCCACTCTCCCAATTTTTGGGTCATCTGCAAACTTGATCAGGGATGATTTTATGTTTTCTCCCAGGTCACTGATAAAAATATTAAATCGCATAGGGCCAAGAACCGATCCCTGCGGGCCCCCACTAGAAACACACCCATCCAATGAGTATTCCCTGTTTACAGTTACATTTTGAGACCCCCACTGACCGCACACCCCTAGTTGTCACCTACCACCCCACCTTGAAACCCAAATGGGATATCATCAAACAATTACAATCCATACTCGACAGAGACCTCATCCTGAAACAAATCTTTCCCAAACCCTCCTCTTCCAGCCCTAAAACAACTGGCTAATCTCATCATCAGAAGCCAGCTCCCCACAGACCAGGACCTCTAAGCAGCACCAGAGCCTGTCATAGACCATCAGGGTTGGAAGGGACCTCAGGAGGTATCTAGTCCAACCCGCCAATCCCCAATTTTTGCCCCAGATCCCTAAATGTCCCCCTCAGGGATTGAACTCACAACCCAGGGTTTAGCAGGCCAATGCTCAAACCACTGAGCTATCCCTCCCCCCACAGAACAACTGCTGCAAAACCTGCAGACACATCTCCACTGCTACGATGATCAACACCCCTGACCACACACCTCTTGACAGGTGTCCGTGGGTCCTACGCAGGCCTGTCACAGCACTAAACGCCCCAACAACTGTGTGGGTGAAACCAGCCAATCACTGCGCTCTCCAATTAACTCACCCAGGAACATGCTAAAACACAAACACACCCTGTGGGTGAACACTCTTCACAAAGCGATCAGCCTGCCTCCGACCCATCAGTTCTTGTCTTCAAGAGAAGCCTGCACAACACCTTCAAAAGACAAGCCTGCGACCTTCAATTCCTAACTCTGCTAGACACTAGAAACCATGCACTCAGTAGAGACACCTAGTGCCTGTCTCATTCCAACAATCTGTCTGCTGTCCCATGACTGCAGAGGTGTTAACTGCCCACTTCATCCTGAATGGTCTCTTCCAACACGACAGGTGTAACTCCTTACGCACACCAACCCCTTCCGCCTGGTATGAGCTGGGACACCCTGAGTACCTTTCCAAGCCCTGAAGAGCTCCTCTCTCTCACTCACAGAAGTGGGTCCAGTGAAAGAGATTATCTCACCCACTTTGTCTCTCTCATTTTGAGACCTATCAGCTTTTAATCCATTTAACGTGTGCCAGGTTAATTGTATGTCCTTCCAGTTTTTGATCAGCAATGCTGTGCTGTACTAAATCAAATGCCCAACAGAAGCACTGTTACCTCTACCAACCAACCTTGTAATTTCATCCAAAAAGACATCAGATTTGTTTGACAGGATGGATTTTCCATAAACCCATGTTAATTGGCATTAATTATATCACCCTCCTTTAATTCTTTATTATTCCAGTCTTGGATCAGCCACTCCATTACCCTGCGCAGGATCGGTGTGAGTGACAGGTCTGTGATTGCCTCGGTCATCCAGTTTACCCTATTTAAATACTGGCACAACATTAGCTTCTCTCAGGGCTCCAGGAGTTAATGAAAATCAATGTTAAAGGTCCAGTGAGCTCCTAAGCCAGCTCTTTTCAAACTCCTGGATGCAAGTTATCTCAGCTGCTTCAGGCTGGTGACACCATCCAGGCTGCACATGCAGCAGAGGTGGGCTCTGGCCCGAGAGTGCTCAGCTGGTAGGCCGAGAAGACTGGTCTCTTGCTGCCGATCCCACGTCTCTGGCCTGGGAGAGCTGGTTTTACTGCAGTAAAATGGCGTAACAAATGCTCTGAGCTCCTATCACACTTCTAAGGAGCTCAGAGCACTTAGTGACATGCATCCCTATTGTCACCTGCACTCTATGGAGGGGGAACAGAGGCAGAGAAGGGGGGGGAGTGACTTGACCAACGCCACAACATAAGTCAGTAGCAGAGCTGGGAACAGAACCCAGGAGGGCTGACTGCCAGCCCCATCCCCACTTCCCTCCCAGAGCTCACAGCAGAACCCAGGAGTGCTGACTGACAGTGCTCTGGAAACAGGAGAAATCAGTGGTGATTGGGCAAAGGAGCACTTTTCATTCACACCTGCTGACAGCCAGCCAGGACATACCTGAGGATGGGGGAAAGGGAGTGGCACGCTGGAAGCAGCATGGCAGGAGAAGCCACCCAGACGCCCTGCCCCCAGTGAGGTGCTCCAGCAAAGGAGTGGGCCTTTGGGCACACCAGGCAACGTTAATAGGCCTGGCATCGCCCCCAGCCCTGCCCACGTGGGTTTGTCTCAGCTGAAGCCTGAGTCACAGGGCTCCTTGTGCTGATCTCAGTGCCCCCGCAGCATGGGCAGTACACGTGGGTGCAGGTCGTGCTCTGCTCTGTGGGGTCTCCCCGAGCTGTTCTCACACACACCGGTTTTCAGCTCGGGCTGTCTGAGCTCAGCAAACAGGATGTTCTCCTCTCCTGCCAGCGCCCTCCAGGGCTCAGGTGAACGGCTTTGATCCACTGCAGGCTTGTGTCCTCTCTCTAGCCCCTTGGCCAGGTGTTCCCAGATATCCAGCCGTGCACGTTTGCTGGGGAGGCCACCCGCTCCTGGAAGACTTTGCAGGGACCGGCCCTGGATTAACGCCGTACAGACACTGTGGGTGGGCTGCTACTTCAGAGCTCGCATGTCCTTAGACTCGGACATGACGCAAGCTGCCGGGGCTGGGGGCACAGCCTATAAAAGGCACAACAACAAGCGGCCTTCTGACAGAGGTGAGGGGCCAAGCAGAGCCGGTCTGCTTTGCACTCGGACCCCAGCAGTCCGGAAGGGCCCCCGCTGTGCCAGGCACTGCACAGACCCTGTTCAAGACAGGCCGCGCCCCAAGAGAGACAACAGAGTTCTCTCTCTTACAGGCCTGGGGAGGTGAAGGGACTTGCCCAGGGTCACAGGAGGTCAGTGGCAGAGCCTGGCTTGAATTCAAGCCTCCTACAGCCCAGTCCAGTGCCTTAGCCAGGCCAGCCACCCATCGCCCTGCCCCCAGCATTAGAGCGAGGTCTCCCTGCCCTGACTTCTCTTTAGCCAGGGGGGCCCCAGGAGCTGGCTGGTCCAGTGCTGGCTTTGACATGTGAGAGCTGCAGTGCATTCAGACGGAGAGGCTCCTCCCTCATTATGGCTGGGACAGGAGTTGGGGCTCGACACCAGACCCACGGATCCCCCCCTCCCCTGCCTCCAGCCAGGAGTGAAGCAGCCTGCTCCGAGGGCCCTGGGGAGCGCGGAGCAGGTGACATGCACTCAGCCGTGGGAGCGGCCAGATCCCTGCAGTGACGCCGAGGTCACGGAGGCAACGAGCTGGCCCTGCCAGATGTTTCCATGGCAGCAGTGGGCCCTGGCTCATGCAAAACGCTCTCCCCGCAGAGACCAAAGCCAGACCTGCCTGCCCGTGCCCTGGAGCCCAGCAGGCCTGGGGATGTACAGCCTATCCCCACCCTGCGGGAGGGAAGAGCCTGGCTTTGAAGGTGACCTTCCCCAGGACCCACGGGGAAGGAGGGCTTTTCCTGACTGTACTGAAATTGGCACTACCTTGGGGGAGGTCAGGACAAAAGGGCTTTTCTGCTGGTTGTTGTCCACCAGGCTCTGCAGCCAGGCAAGGAGAGCACCATGCCCACGAAGCAGCCATGACAGGGCAGGGTTTGCAATCAGGCTGTTTAAAACACCATGTGGTTCGCTTAGTTTTTGCCAACCACATGCAACTCAGACACCCACGAACCACTTGGGAGCAAAGCTCTCTCTGTTAAAGATTTTACAGTCCTTCAGCTCACTCCACTGCCCAGCTGTGCCCTCCCAGGAGGCCAAGAGAAACCCCACCGGGAACATCTGATGTTCCCAAGAGGCACCCGCGGGTACCAGAGGAATGTCTACAATTCCCGTCAGCCTGCGCGTGGGCTCCGAGGGGGTCCGGCTGATGGGGGTGGCGGGGATAGCTAGGGCAGAACTTCCACAAGGGTGGGGACTATGACCTGCTCCGCAGCCCCCAGGATTCCCCCGACCGGGCGAGCTTCCAGAGCTGGTCTGGCAGCCCTGGTGCAGGTGGCTGGCGCGTGGCATGGCTGGAGAGGTTGCAATCCTGCACACGGAGGTACCTCCCAGGGCTTTGTTACCATGGGGAGGAGACGATAAAGCACCAGAAGTGCCAGACTGGAGCAGAGCCCAGGCCCACGTAGCCCAGTGTCCCGGCTGCTTCAGAGGGCGGTGCAGAAAACCCCGCAGCAGCAGACGAGGCATGAGCTGCCCCGTGGTGGTTGCACCTTAACTCCCAGCAGTCAGAGCCCAGCTAAGCCCCTGAGCTGGGGGCAGTTTTCACTGGCTGCCCAGGAACGATCTCACGGTTTCTCACTCGGATCATGCAGACACTGCTTGCCCGGGGCAGGTGGCTATCTGCAGGGATATACGAGAAAGGTGCTTTCGGACGTTCTTGTGCCAGAGCAGACAGCATAAACATCCCCCAGAGCATCAGCTGGGCCTGGTGTCTCAGGCCTCCTTGGCACAGGAAAGCTCAGCCTGCCACTGCAATCCTGGCACTCTGCTGACCGTGGGCCCCAGGTACGAGACGCAGAGTTTACTCCCCACGGGAAGTTGATGGGCAGGCACCAGCATGCCACAGGAGATCAGCGGCAGGGCTACCCACGGGGCACCATCATGCACCGCTGGACACCGTGCTCTGCTCTGCCCCAAGAGCACCTCTTGCTGGCTGGCTAATGGAATCAGTGCTGCGAGCTTAGGAAGAGTCTCAGCAGTGCAGAGGGGCCAGGGGATAAACTAGCCAGGGGATAAAGCACCCTAGCATCAGACAGCATGGTCCAGTGGACTAATGTCAGGGTCACGAGGTAACAACTGAGCAAATGAGGTCTAGGCTGCATGGCCACTGGGAGATCACAACCCCTCTGTGTCCCCACCCCCAGGCGATGAGCCTGACCCAGCACCCGGACGGTGGGGCCCCTCAGCACTGTTCCCAGACCCGTCGCACCTCTCCTTAGCCATTACTTTGAACACAGTAGCAGTCACAGCATCCTGAGGCCCCTGTGTTCTCTGCCTGCTGGCCCTGCGCTTGGGGAAGTTTCCAGGCCTGTAAGCATTTGTTCTAGCCAGCTCAGAGTCCTGCTTCCAGCCCCCACAGACCATGGGGCCTTGAGACGTAGGAACTTAGAAATCCCAGCAGACCGATTACCTCTGCACACCTCCCCTCAATCTGCATATAATTTCAGCAGCAGAGTTCAGCTTGTGAGTTAGAGATTTGTGCTCACAGGCCCTCAGAACAGTTGGAAGTGGGCTAAGGTGCGGGTGTCTCAAAACCATTTCTGCTAGAATCAAGTCGGGTGGAAGAAACTCAACAGAAAGTGACCAAAGAGTCCAGTATCCTGTGAGTTGCCAAGTACTGAACAACTGGGCTCCCCACCTACACAGCATCTGTTTAGGACTCTTGCTTCGTGAGGTCTCTGGCCATAAAACAGAGGCTGATCTCAGGCTTAGTCTGCGGGACTATAGGAAGACACTCCACTCTACAGGGGAGATTTGCAGAGCGTCTGGTACAAGCCAATCTACAGGCTATGCTCCCAGAGCGTGGCACTCTCTGGGGCGGGAGAGGGCAGCATACGTTACCACCACACTAGGGCAGGGACAGGAGACTGCCACCTACAGCTGAAGCTGGAAGGCTGAAGTTTGGCCGGGGTGCTGACACTCACCGGAGTGCCCAGCAGGGCCTCTAGCGGCATGCTCAGGCATTGGGGGCAGCACTGACCCAGAGGGAAAAGCGGCCCTAGCCAACCCACTCCAGGCAATGCAATATCCCCTAATGCTGCGCTGTGCCAGGAGGTCAGTGCGGGCTGAGCGGGGACCGATTCTCCTATGGCACCCCCAGCCTGGCCCCCACACAGCACCAGAGCATCGGGTCAGCACCTTGTCCAGAGCTCCCGTCGCCCCACTCCCTGCAGCACAGCACCCCCCCCCCAGCACGGAGCTGGAGCACTGGGGCCAGCACTGACCGCAAGGGGAGAGCACCCGTGCGTCTGCCCAAGCCCCGAGCAACCCAAGGGCGGGGCGGCTACCTCGTTTAAACTCCTCCAGGACGGCGTCCAGCTTGGTGTCGTTGAAGACGAAGTGCAGGGGGTGGTTGTAGAACTTGCTGATGGTGCTGAGTGGCACGCAGTCGTCCGGGTCCACGAGCGCCAGGTCCTTGAGGTAGAGCATGTCCACCAGGTTGGTGCGCTCCTCCTCGTAGATGGGGATGCGGGTGTAGCCGCTCTGCATGATCATGGACATGCTGCGGAAGTCCAGCACGGAGCTGGCGTTGAGCATGAAGCACTGGTCCAGCGGGGTCAGCACGTCCTCCACCGTCTTGCTGCGCAGGGCGCCCTTGCTGAACTCCTCGCGCACGAACTCGTCGTACGGGTCGCTGCCGCGCACCGTGTCCGCGAGCGTCTCCCGCAGGAGGCAGGGGCTGGCGTCCCGCCGCAGGGCCAGCTCCAGCAGCTTGCTGAGCGGCAGCGAGACGGGGCAGGTGAGCAGCATGCAGAGCCGGGTCAGCCAGCGCCCGCGGGGGGCCAGCACCAGCCCCCAGCGCGCGCAGACGGCGAAGGGCAGCAGCTCGGCCAGCAGGAAGACCAAGCCGGCCGCGGCCAGGATGGCAGGGGCCAGGGCCCGCAGGGCCCAGCAGGCGAGCACGGCCAGGGCGGCGTTGGCCAGCGAGCTCAGCAGCAGCAGGGAGCAGAGGGCGAAGGGGCCCCGGGGCCTCGCCAGCGCCTGGCCGGCCTCGCGCTCCGCCTCCGAGCCGCGGCCCCGCAGCAGGCCCAGCTCCCCGGGCTGCGGCCAGAGCCAGCCGAGCTGCAGGGCCCGCAGCAGCGCGGAGAGGGCCAGCAGCAGGGCCAGCAGCGGGGGCAGCAGCCAGGGGGCCGGGGGCGGGGGCAGCAGCCGGGGGGCCGGAGAGGGCGGGGCCGGGGGCGGGGCCAGCAGCCGGGGGGCCGGCGAGGGCGGGGCCGGGGGCGGGGCCAGCAGCCGGGGGGGCGAGGGCGGGGCCGGGGGCGGGAGCTTGGGGGCCGGCGAGGGCGGGGCCAGCAGCCGGGGGGCCGGCGAGGGCGGGGCCGGGGGCGGGGCCGCCCGCTCGCCCCGCCCCTCGCCCACCGGGAGGGCGGGGCCCGGCGCGGCGGGGGCCCAGGGCCAGCGGCCGTCGGCCAGGCCGGGGCCGTGGAGGCGCGGGCGGAAGCGGGCGCCCGGCGCGGCCCGGACCAGCCCCCCGCGGGCCCGGGCCCCCTGCTCCGGCCGGAAGCCCGGCACGCGCGGCGGGGCGCGGGGGGGGGGCTCGCGGGCCGCGCCCCCCCCGCCCGCCGGCCCCCCCCGCGCGGCGGCGCAGCCCAGGCACAGCGCGGCCACGGCCCAGCGCAGCCCCCCGCCCCCCACCATGGCCGGCGGCGAGTGGCGTGCGCGCCCCCGGGGCGGTCAGCTGACTCGCCGCGCGCGCCCCCGGGCCCGCCCGGCCAATCGGAGCGCGCGGCTCTCGGGCCGCGGCCAATGGGCGCAGGGGGCGGGGCTGGCGGCCCGGGGAGCGCAAGCTCGGCTGCGCCGCGCGGTGAACAAGCGCGGGGCGGGGGCGGGGGCGGGGCGCTGGGTTTAAAGGGCCAGAGCCGGGCGCGGCGGCGGGGGGGGCACTTATCCGCCGGGCCCCCCGTGCACGGGGCAGCTACTGCGGAGTGGAGGCGGGGGGCGAGTGGCCCATCCCGGGGGGCTCCTCGGCCCGAACCCCTGGGCACGGACCGCGGGTACCGAGCCCCCCCCAGCTCGGGCCGCACCCCGCGGGCTAAACCCCCCCCAGCCACGGGGCCGCGGGTCGCCTGCTGACCGGAGCCACCAGTGTCTCTTTTCAAGCCGGTCTTCTGGTCAGAAACCAGGTGCCGGCAACCCCAGCCCCAGCCCCAGCCCTGCCCACACTTCAGAGGGGCCAAAGCGGCTGGGAGGAAGCATTCACTCAGTAAAACAGGAATGATCACTGGGAGCTGGTTAGGAACACCGTACTCGATGCCAAGAAAGCCACAATCCCCCCCATCAAAGAAGAAGGCCGTCTTGGGTAAAATAGCAAGCTGGTTTAGAGGGGAAGTAAAGGCAGCTATTAAAAAAAAAAAAAAGGGGGGGGGGGAGGAAGAAAGGGGATGTTGATCGTCATGCCTCTAATCAGAAGCTAGGCAGTGTCAAAACTTGACGAGAAGCCAAGGAACACAGAGAGACACCCATGGTGCGCCCGCACCTTGAATGCCGTGTGCAGTTCTGGTTGCCTCATCTCAAAAAAGATCTATTAGAATTTGAAAAAGTGCAGAGAAGGGCAACAAAAAAGATGGGGGGTCTGGAACAGCTTCCACATGAGGAGAGATGAATAAGACTGGGACTGTTCACCTTAGAAAAGAGACGCCTAAGGAGGGATATGATAAAATCATGACTGGGTGTGGAGAAAGTGAACAGGGGAGTGTTATTTACCCCTTCGCATAACACAAGAACCAGGGGTCACCTAATGACATTAATAGGCAGCAAGTTTTAAAAAAAACATAAGGAAGGGGATGTTGTGAAGGAAGAATAAGTGGGTTCAAAAAAAGAACTCCGTAAGTTCCTGGAGGATAGGTCCATCAATGGCTATTAGCCAAGATGGTCAGGTATTGCCCTAGCTGGGGGTGCTCAGTACCCGCTGCCCGTGTCCATGCTCTGGGTGTTGCTTCCTAGCTTCTGACTGCCAGAAGCTGAGACTGGACAACAGGATGGATCACTTAAAATTTCCCTGTTCTGTTCATTCCCTCTGAAGCATCTGGCACCAGCTACGGTCAGAAAAGAGGACACTGGGCTAGATGGACCATTGGTCTGACCCAGTATGGCCGTTATTATGTTATTAACTCTATGGCCAGCAAAAGTTAAGGCCAATAAGATGGAGTTTTTTAAGTATATTAGAAACAAACAAAAAAACCCTGACCATGGTATTGGTTCATTACTAGACAGAAATAGTAGAATTATCAATAATAATGCAGAAAAGGCAGAAGTGTTCAATAAATATTTGTCTGTATTTTGAAAAAACAGATGATGCAGTTATAGTATATGATAACACTCTTTCCATTTCACTAGTATCTTAGGATGATGTTAAACAGAAGCTACTAAAGTTAGACATTTTTAAATTGGCAGGTCCAAATAACTTGCATCCAAGAGCTTTAAAAGAGCTGGCTGAGGAGGTCATTAGAACATTAATGTTGCTTTTCAATAAGTCTTGGAACAACAGGGAAGTTCCAGAAGACTAGAAGAAAGCTGATGTTGTGCCATTATTCAAAAAGTGTAACCGAGATGACCTGAGTAATTACAGGCCTATCAATCTGATATTGATCCCAGCCAAGATAGAGCAGCTGATATGGGACTCGCTTAATGAAGAACTAAAGGAGGATAATATGAATAATCATCAATGCCAATCAACATGGGTTTGTGGAAAATAGATCCTGCCGAACTACCCCGATATCCCTTTCATTTGGTTGATAAAGATAATAGTTCCGGTGTCTGTACTTACTCTTCTGTAAGGTGTCTGACCTGGTACCTTGTGACATTTTGACTAAAAAACTAGAAGACTATAAAATGAACACAGCACACAGTAAATGGATTAAAATCTGGCTAACTAATAAGTCTCAAAATGTAAATGGGGACTCATCACTGAGCAGATCTGTGTCCAGTGGGGCCCTGCAGGGATCAGTTCTTGGCCCTATGCTATTTAGCATTTTTATCAATAACCTGGAAGAAAACAAAGTCATGCCTGAAGAAGTTTGCAGATGACACGAACGTTGAGGGAGAGGTAAATAATGGCGAGGACCAGCACTGATCCAGAGTGATCGCTCACTTGGGGAGCTGGGTTCAAGCAAACAGGACGTGTTTTAATATGGCTAAATGTAACTGTAAATAAAGATGGGCTGTTTGTCTGACAGATCTGCGCTAGGGATTATTGTGGGCAGGCCTCTGGCCTGTGCGCTACAGGGGGTCACACTAGATGATCACAATGGTCCCTTCTGGCCTTGAATAAACAGCCTTGCCCCACCTCTGCCTCCCCATCGCAGCATTGTGTGCCAAGGTGCTGAGCATTTTATAGTGTTCTAGTTTTTTAATCAAAATATCGTGCTTCCCACTCGAGACCACCATCGGGAACACCGCAGGAGTGCTGCCAATGGGGTGCACCCACTTCTTCAGTCCCAGCCTCTCCCAGCAGGGGGTGCTGTCAGGAGGGGGACAAGAGCTTCTTCGATCCTGGCCTCTCCCCCAGCTGACAGTGCTGGAAGGAGCAGGGCGGGAACACTGGCTCTTGGGGGCGGTCCCAGCTGAGGGGGTCGTAGGGAGTGGGGCGGGAGCAATTCTAGAGAGTTGAAGTCTGCACCCCGTCCTCCCCAAAGAACGAGCCCAGCCTAGCCCTAGCGCGCCCTGTTCTGCCGTTCCGAGGCTTAGCAATCAGATTCGAACCGGCCACCGTAGCAGTCAGTGGAAATGGACCTGCACACCAAGAGACAGGCCCTGTCCCTAAGAGCCGACAGTGTAAATAAACCAAGCGTGGGAGGGGAAACTGAGGCATGGAGGGTGCAGTGATTTGTCCAAAGTCACCAGCAGGGTGGAGGAAGAACTAGGAATATAAGCCAGGTCTCCTGAGCTCTGGGGAAATGCCCGACCCACTCGGCCTCTGAATGAGCGTGAGCTCATTTTGTTATTGGGGGAGGCTCAAGATGCTGCTGAGACACTGTAAAACTCGGCTCAGCACCGAGCTCCAGCCTTGTCCTCTCTGCTGTACTACAGCAGGGGAGCGAGTAGAAGGGGGAGCAGGGCCACACGCCCGCTCCTGTGCGTTTCCCGGGCTTTGGTTCAGCCCCGAACAGCCTGCCCAGCTTGGACACGGTTCCAGCTGGGAAATCTCGGGGCGTTCCGTACCATCACCCGTGTTCCCGGAGGTGTAAAGACCCAGGCTTTCAGCTCTCACAGCCCAGGGCAATGCTGCCACCTACCCACCAGCCGCAGGCCGGGGCCCGGCTGGATTTGGAGCCTCAGCTCCTCAATAAGGGCCTGGTCTTGGATCCGCTTTCTCATGCGGTGGCATTACGTATGGGGTATTACAGTAGTGTCCAAAGGCCCCACCGTGCAGGGCGCTGCACACACAGCCCCCAGCCCAGTGAAAACGGACTGGTCAGTTTCACCTTTGTATAGGAGTCAGTTTTACTCTGGGGCTCTCCAGGCCCAGCAAACCCCTGCTCTGGCGTGGCAAAGCCCTGGCATCATTCTGCAACCCCCAGGGACAGAGCGGTCAATGGGACACAATACCACTGCCACCAGGATTCTCGTTCAAAACAAAATCAGGAAAATTAGGGTTGTTTTTTTTGTTTTAAAGTAAGTTTAGGACCCAAACTCTGCCCCGTCCCTTTAAATTCTCAGCTGCTCTAGGAGCCAAAAGCAGTGCTGACGAGTGGGTGGGGGGCACGTTAGCTTTGGAGGTGGCTGCTGTCGCCCAGCCAGAGCAGGGAAGCACTAACAGCTTTGAATTGGTGAATGGAAAATGAAGAAGCAAATATAAGAAACTCTGTTTCTTTCAGTGCTGCCCCAGTTCCCGTTCCATCTCTTTACTAAACTCGAAGGGCCAGATCCTCAGACAGTGTAAAGCAGATAGGCCATTGATGTGACTGGAGCTATGCTGATTTACCCCAGCTGGGATCTGGCCCATTGACTCCCACGGAGCGATGGCCCATTGACCCCAGCTGGGATCTGGCCCATTGACTCTCATGGAGCAATATCCATTTACATCAGCTGGCAACCTGGCCCTTAGAGCTGAGTAAAGAAATGAAAATAGGATAAACAACACAGGGCAGATCCTCATTTGGTGTGAAGCGGCAAAACTCTGCTGACTTCAAGGTAGCTACAACAACTTACATCAGCTGAGGATCTGGCTGAAACGTGAGCATTTGTGAGATCATGTAATTTGCTCCCCACCAAACACGTGAACAGAGAAACGATTCAACAGAAACAGACACTCCACTGCCCATGAAATTAGACATACGCAAATTCGGTCTCCCGGCTTCCACCTGCGCGGCTGGGAATGAACCTTCAGGGGCCACAAAGCGCAGAAGGAAGGGAATATAGAGAGATATTTTATTACCCAATCAAAAAAATAAATTCCATATTTCGTTTAGCAAATATCATAATTTCTTAGTGACAAGAGACGCAGACTCAAAAATGAAACACAACCAAATCCCCTCCCAAAAGGGCACAACTCAGAACAATGAAAAAAATATACAAGAAACGACGATCCCCCCAAATAATCACAAACATATACAAATTAAATCTGGTGCAAAATAAATATTAGTCATTTGCTACCTGGCATGGCCCGTCTACAGTATTTGGATCTCCCCGCCTTGGCCCCATCAGCGATGCAAAGCCAGGGGAGTCCAGTGTGGGGGTTATTGCTGATTGGCTAGGGAGGAGGAAAGCCAGCGGAATTGGGATTGCTCAGGAGAGAGGAGACAACCGGCACGGAGGAGCTAAAATTCCCTGCAGAGGATGTGTGTGTGATTCTCTCCTGCCCTGCCCCTTGTGCAGTCACTCACACTGTGCACAAGAGAGTATAAAACGCAGCCAAATCCGAACGCAATGCTTTGTACCTACTCTGCAGTGGTGTAACTGCCTGTATGCAGGGCAGGGCAGAATCAGGCCCACAGACTATGGAACGGCCACAACATTCGAGGGCATTTGGAGCCGAGTGTTGGGTTCCACCCAAGATCCCAGTGGGGACAAGGTCTGATCTGGATCGACACATGCCCTCGCTCTGTTCTGCACTTTGGTGCCAGCCACGCAGTTTGCAAACCCAGTCCCCTGTGCTAGGTGGAGGCATTGTTTCATGGAGACGGTAGTATCCTGGATAAAACCTGAACACGACTCATGACAGCTACTGAGAACATCAACTGGGCCTTTAAACGGAATCGATTTGCTCCTCGTAACAGGTCGAGTCTCTGATAACCGAGGGCCCGAGTGACTCGATTCTACTCTCACACCAGCACAGATTAGGAGTCCGTCCTCTGAAGTCAGTGGAGAGAACAGTTACCAAGCGAATCAACCCACTGAAGTCAATGGAGTTACAGATGTGCATGGAGCTCCGATTCAGGAAAACCTGGACATATGTGCTTAACGTTAACCATGTGCTTTACTCCCACGACTCCAAAGGGGTTTAAACACCTGCTTAGGTGCTGTCCTGAATGTAGGGGATGCTTTCCTGGATTGGAGCCAGACTGATGAGAAACATGACCATGGGTGAAGCATCATCCTTTCTGAGGTCACTTCCTGGTCTCCAACAGAACAGGAAATGACACGTACCGAAAAAGGAGCCGTCTGTTTTATTTAATTTAATCGGCACATAACTAACTCCCTGCTCAAAGAGCTGCTGCCAACAGACCTCCGAGGAGACAGGTGGCATGAACACGGGCGTCTCCATGCACATGCTCACGCGTGCTCGGAGAAAGGGGCTTCAGGAGAAAACCCTCAGCTTTTTTCCAATCCAACGTTGCAGAGAAATATTTCTGCCTTAAAAAAAAAAACGAACTGTTTTTTTTTTTTAATCTCTAGAGTCTCTCCTGACAGGAACGGATTTTAAAAACTTAATTTAAAAAATAACCCCCACACAATAAATTACATAAAGTCACCCCCAGTGGGCAGCATTTGGAAACCACGGTGCTTTTGTCTGGAATAAAAAAAAACTTCACACACAGTCAGAACATGAAAAATCAGACAAAAGCGACGGCAAGCGAAAGACTTGTATACAGGAAAGGAAGAAATTGCAAGGGACAACGATGCACTCCAAAAATCCCTGTGCAAGCTGTGGCATTTCTATGGCAACGGATGGCTCAGACTCTGACAAGGAGGGAGCCATACTTCTCAGGAAGGGTGACTGGAGAGGCATAGTGTCTATCTGCCACTGAATTTCAATGGGAAACACACAGTTAGAATTAAATGCAATACATGGAAATTAAAAAGCCCATTCTGCAGATGGGAGAATTGGGAAATCCTGGCAAAAAGTCCCGTCACTGGAGTTTTCCTTTCAGAAGGCTGAGCGGCGAGCTAGGTCGGCCCCAATCCTGCAACCCAGTCCAGGCAGATGGCTCATTCAGCCCATATGGTACCTCTATTACTTTACAAGGGTCTGCCCTCACTGGATCCAATTGCCTAAGGATGTCTTAACATCCTTTCCCTTCCCAGCTTCTTCTCTAACCTGGCCAGATTCATTTCCCCTGGGATCTCCCCTCCGCACCCCCATCCCATTTGTCTGCAATAAAGTCTGCCCCACAGGGCTCAGGCCTGTGGCTCTGGATGAGTCAACGGGACCAGCCTCTCAGTGAAACCTGAGGAGCCGCCTGCGAGCTTTGGTCATTAGCTCCGCTCACAGACTGTGAGCACGTTCACACACCAAAGGGCCCCCTCCCTTTTGGGAGGGTGCAATCAAAATACTGGCATCAGCGTCCGAACCAGCTGAGAAATGGTATGGATCGGACAGGGGTTGAGAAAGCCCTGTATTAAAACCCAACAGATCCTGCAGCGCTGTGCAGTGCTGGAGTGAGAAGTGCTCCATGATCTGGTGCCGCTTTGCTATGTATCCCCATATAACTTAGGAGAGTTTCATCAGTTCCAAAGATGGGGAAACTGAGGCACAGGAAGGGGAAGGGCTTTGCCCAAGGTCACACAGCTGTTCAGTAGCAGAGCTAGAATTAACACCTACGTCTACAGAGCCCCAGTCCTGTGCCCCAGACATGCAGCCACTCTGACAGCTGCAGGACCTTTTTCTATACAAGGGGTCCCACCCCCAGAATACAGCGCTGAGAAGAGACACAGCAAATCAGTCAGCGGCAGAATTCAGCGAGTCAATCTATGGAGCATGCTCAGGGAGGACACAGCTTCCCACTGCTGCTTGGCACCTTGGCTGCAGGGAGTCAAACGAAAACTTCAAGACGGTACAGTACTTAAAGGGAACCATGGTCCACTGCCTACGGATCTCCCCAGCCCATGGGCCCACGTGAGAGGCGTGTTCCAACAGCCGTCGCCAACAGCCTGGGCTAGAGTGATGGCAAATTCCCCTGGAGAGCCAGTCACTGAGCAGAGCCAGAGTGCAGTTAAACCCATCTGCTCCAAATCCACACACAGCACAGCGCCTGGGCCTGATCCTTCGCCTCTCTGCACCTCCTGGCGTCACCTGCTGAGAGGGCGGAAAACGACCAACCCTGAATTCTCCGCCCATGCTGTTGGTGACTTCCCGCACCCCTCAATCCCAGGCATATGTGGTCACACAAGGAGCAAAGAAAAGGAAGGCCAGACTCTCCCTGTCTAACCATACTGCAGCAAACCTGGTTTTAACAGCAGCCTAGATGACACCAATGAGAATGTCTCTTTTGGGGCTGCCATCGTAATGACACGGGAGGCGATCTCCCAGCTGCAGGCAGAGCACCAAGAGGCAGATCAAGACTGAGAAAATTCAGGCTGCCTTGGAAACCAGTGGAAACCAAGACCAATTGAACCACTGTTTTACAGTGTGCTTCTACACTGAAGAGTGACTATGTAAAAATGGCTTGTTTTCCCTCTAAAGACCAGCTCCCTGCGCCAATCCATTATCACAGTGCTCATCTTATTGTCCCAATCACCCTTCATCCTGGGGCGCCCTAAGAGGGGGAGTTTGGGGGAACTCTGGAGCTGTGTCTATGTACTGAATGGCTTTCCTTCATATTTTGATGGTGGTTATCATGAATGGGGATGAGAGACTTTTGGGGGACCAAAGGTCTCTCTGTAATTAGCCCAGAAAACCGGAAGAGGTGGACCAGGAAGCTGAGCCGGCTCCGTTTACAATTCAAAGGAAGATTTTTCCGCCTGCCAGAGCTGGACGCTGCCTGGGATTGGAGAGTCGAACTGGAGTTCATCTGCCCCCCAGCTAGAAGATTCTACACCAACAGAACGGTGACTAGACACTTCCCAGGAGCGCTCGGCTCTGGTGGGGCTGAAGGGAGAATTTTTTCCAGGTCGGGATGACTCCAACTTTAAAGGTTAGGAGCAGGAGAGCCATTTTTTCCCCAAGAAAACAACTTCAGAAACTTCACAGAAAATTGAACCGTCTCTCTAGAGACGTCTCTGACGATCTGCAAAGGGGACTTTTCTGACATCCCTCCATCTCGCCAAGGAGGAGGATTCCTGTGGAACGGACTCTCTAGTTCTGCTAAGCCCCCGAGGAGCTTCCCTCACCAACAAAACATACCCAGCACTATTCCCAGATCCCAAACGAGGGCTCCAGATCCGAACTCGACCGTGGAGTTCGGATCTGGAGCATACGCTCCAGAGCATACGCTGTGCAGTACCCATTTAAAACATCAGCATGCAATCCATCAGCGTGCGATATTTGTTCTATGGGAACCGTTAACTCCCAAGAGAATAAATCCAACAGTATGAAGATTTTTTTCCCTATCGCAACGTCATGGTTGCGTGCGGCAGTCAGCCCGAGGAGACTGCTACGGTCCCCGCGGTACATTTTGGGGTAAGGTACAATTGCCCTATGAAGAGCTCAGAAGCAGGAGTACTGTATCACTGACGGCGGGGGCAACCGACCTGATTCTTCTCACCCTGAGCAGGTGGTGTCAGAACATCCACATCAATTTTACAAGGTTTCGACTCACCCAGGTAACCAAGGACACCAGTAGGAAACTTCTCTGGGGCCTATAAGCAGCAGTCCTTGTTGGCGCTAACGTCTAGAGTCCGTTTAAAGCCTCGGTGTGGGTCAGGTGAGGTCCCCCTGCGAGGTGAACAATTCCATAAACACGTCAACGGCTGGGGCGTTTCTTTGATCAAATACCACAGCACTGACAACCAGGGCACCAGCTCTCGTGTCCCATGTGTTAACCCTGGCGTGGCCTAAACGCAGATCTGATCTGGAGACTGAGCCAAAGCAGGAGTCACCGAATACCGCTCAGACAAAGTCACTCTGAGGCGCGGAACAGCAGGTTTAGTTACACCCTGGAACTCATTCCACAGCCATACGTTTACGGGTAATTTAAGCACCGGAAATACATGAACCCACCCATTTCTTTAAAATTTGTCTTAAAACCACACAGATCTGACCAACTTCCGCCCCCAGCTCCGTGAGGCTGCCGAGGAGCATTACAAATGAACAATTACATTTAATTTCTGCTGACGCCCAGATGTAGTGATTGGCCCCGCCAGAGCACCTTGCTCTTCCCCTTTCAGCCAGAGCCAAGAGCGGGGCGGGAGGAGCTGAGCGTCTCTGCAGTCTCCCAAGGGGGCCGCCTGAACTGTCCTAGTTTCTGATCTTTGGTTGAAAAGGGAGAGTGGGCTGGAGTTCAAACAGGAGGCCCTAGCCAGAAAGGCCGCCCTGGCACCGGGCTGCGGGCAGGGACAGAGGGACCCGAGGGCTCTGGCATTGTTGACCCGCCCTGAAGGTCCAGTCCCCCCAGTGGAGCGGTTATGCTCTGGTGGGAAGACCCGGATCCACTGAGGAGAGGCTGTGCCCCCTGGGCCAGCTTGTGCCCACAGACACCCTGCCCCTTGGTCTGTCAATGGGGAGTGTGAACCAGCCAGCTACAGCAGCTCCCTCACAACCCCCGAACAAGGAACAGCTGGGGTGCAGGACAAATAGGCATCCCTCGCTGTCCAGAGGGGCTTCTGAGCACGGGGGCTGCCCTGCCAAGGCCCTGCCTCTTCCAGCCCCTCCAGTGTCACACGACAGCCCCATTACACCTGTCCACCTGCCTGGGGAGTCAGGGGCACCCAGGGGAGCCTGCCCTGCCCTGCCGAGGAGCATCCCCGGAGCAATTATTGCTCAGAAGCCAGGTTGGTTTGGAGGAGAAACTGGCTCTCCAGGGCAGCACTCCCAGACGGCATTCTCTGCCCAGCCCTCTCTCCCCGGCGGTGCCCCAGGCCAGGGCTCCCAGCTAGCCCAGACAGCAGCCACGGGGACACAGACAGGTGGGGGCACCACGGGTCCCTGAGCCTGTGGGAGGGGACAAGCGACACTGCTTTGGTCTCTGCTGGCTCACGAGGACACAGGCTGCCCCACTGCTCTCAGTTACTCCGGGTCAACTGGGCTCAGCTAGCGAGTCAACAGGGTAAATCTGGACTGACACTGGAGCTACGGAGAGCTGAACGAGGTCCCTTGGTCTCTCTTGGCCAGGTGGGTGGAGAAGCCCAGGCGTCTGTCCCAACCGAGCCAGACCTCAGGCGGGTGCACACAGGGTACCCCACTGACACAGCAAACCCCACGCAGGCGAGAGCAGAATCCGGCCAAGCAGGGACAAAACCAACGTCCCCTCACAAGCCATGTCGGCCGGAGGGGGCGGTTCACTGACCCCCCCAGGGCCTGGCCCCTCCACTCCCACCCAGCCCCATTCACACCCACGCTCACAATATTACCCGCACCATGTCTGTTGAAGCGATGCAGAATCCCGGCCAGCGCCACCGCTCCGCTCTGCGGCCAGCGCTTGGAGCGAGAAGTACCCCTTGAGCCTGGCCCCACCACCCCCAGCTGAATCCTGGACACGTGCTGGGCTCCACCTCTGAGATGCGCCAAATGACACGGACGCACGAAGAGCTCTGCAAGGCCAGTGCCCGGCTAGGATGGGTTCCAACCACCCTGACTGTGGCCGACTCCAGTGCTGGCTGCTCCGAACTCCCAACCACCCGGCAACAACAACAAGAAAAAGAAACCTACGAGACACCAAGGCTCCCTGAGCTGGGCCAGCGACTCCCACAACCGGCAGCTGCTGCCCGGGCCGATCGCTGTCCCCTCCCCAGGCGGGATGGCCAGGGACTGATCTGCTGCTGGACCAGGGGTGGGGAGGGTGTGACATGAACCAGGGCCATGCTGCGGGGGGAGTGCAATGGGTCATGCTGAGGTGCCAAGCGGGTGAGCGTAGCTGCTCTCGGCGGGGGCACTCCAGGCACGGCCTGGGGTTTGAGAGCTCGTCCCTTTGTTTCCATCTTTATTCATTTAAATAAAACCCAGTTTAGAAACAGCAGCCAATGAGTTCCCTTTATAAATCCTCTGCGGAGTCACCCTCCCTGCTCCCAGTCCACGCCTGGCCCAGGCCGAGGTAAAGTCGGTCCCTGGGATCCAACAGCTCCAGGGCACATTTCGGGGAAGGGGTGGGGGATCCCCTTTTGCATCCCAGTGTGGCCACGGCGCCACGAACCCACATCCTCACCAACGCTGGCAGCAGGGGCTGCCCCGGGCGATCAAAGTGGCTCGCAGAGGGAGGGATCTCTAGACAGAGCTATTTGGACGCGGGGAAAGGCTCCCCACCCCGAAGGGTGTGAAGTGTCCTGGCGGGGGCGCCGGCGGGGGCCCTGGTGCCAGGCTCAGATGGAGTTCTCCTGGGGGCTGTGGCTGCCCCTGCGGTCCAGGCAGTTCCTCTCGTTCAGCAGGCTGGTGGTCTCGTCGGCCCCCAAGGGCTCCGCCTTGTCTGTCAAGCTGATGTCCATTTTGAGGGCACTGCTGTCCGGAGACTGAGGGCAGCTGTCCAGGCGCGAGGCCATCAGGCCATTCTGGTACTGCTGGCGCGTAATCTGCAGCGGGAGAGAGAGGGGCAGATGTGGTCAGCCAGCGAGACGAGCCCGGCTGGCCTAGCAGAGCTCCAGAGCGTGGCCCATGGCTACTGCCTTCTTGAGTATAGAAGAGCAGCAGCAAACTACTGATCCCAGCATGCCACGATCCATCCTGACCTCCCACCCCAACCAGAAACTACAGATCCCAGCATGCCACGCTCCATCCTGACCTCCCACCCCAACCGGAAACTACAGATCCCAACATGCCACGCGCCATCCTGACCTCCCACCCCAACCGGAAACTACAGATCCCAGCATGCCACGCGCCATCCTGACCTCCCACCCCAACCGGAAACTACAGATCCCAGCATGCCACGCGCCATCCTGACCTCCCACCCCAACCGGAAACTACAGATCCCAGCATGCCACGCGCCATCCTGACCTCCCACCCCAACCGGAAACTACAGATCCCAACATGCCACGTGCCATCCTGACCTCCCACCCCAACCGGAAACTACAGATCCCTGCATGCCATGCTCCATCCTGACCTCCCACCCCAACTGGAAACTACAGATCCCAGCATGCAATGCTCCCCTCCCCCACCAGAAACTACAGACCCCACCATGCCATGGCCATCCCCCCGCCCCCAAGTATGATAATTCAGTGCACTCCCTTCATAAGAATCACATCGGTCCCGGACAATTCGATTCTTATAAGCGCTTGACTCTTACAAGTGGAATTGCAAATAATGGATGAAATCGGCCGTTACGTTTTAAACAACTGGCTTCCCCCCCCCCCCCCCCAACTGAGAAACGTCTCATTTACTGTCACTGAATTCTTTAGACTTTAAACATATTCACCGTGGAACAAAACCAAACCAACTTTCTAACTGAGCCACAGGTCGTTATCACCCACTCACTCCGCAGGTGCGTTTGTTGGAGGCAATTACTGCCTTGCGACTGCAGCAGGTAGTGGAGGGATATGCCTCTTAAGGAGCCAAAGACACATTTTAAAAATCTCTCAAACTGCAGCCAACCGAACACATGTAAGCGCAGTACCCGGCGTGTGACAGACCCGTGTACAAGACCCGACCAGACTGGTTCACAGTATTGGCTCACGTTCACCAATACGCAGCGTCACCTCAGTCTGTCATCGGCGTGGAGTGTCTGGCTGTGAATGCACAATGCCGTGGCACAATCCCCGTTGGATTATAAACTTGTCCAGTGTTTCCTGGATCACGGCACGATCCACGCCACTGTTAACCTCCTTTTCAGAGCAAGGCAGGAGGTTAAAATCACTGCACCCCCTGTACCGCAGGTCATTTGTCTGAGTTTTTGTCGCATTCAGAGTCTGCCTCTGCATCATTTTCGGGTTTCACTTCCAATCGGTCTCTGATCTCGGTCACATCATCAGAGACCAGCTGCGTAACACTCACCGATGGCTAGCCACTCTTCAAATTTGGGCGCATTAAGTTCTCTCGGGTGCTCAACAACTGCTTCTGCCATGGGCATTATGACCAGACTTCCTTTGTCGCAGCAATTCCGGGTTGCTGAAGCATCGACGTCAGACCAGGCCTTTGTGAGCACGAGAATGGCACCTAAAAGTCGGCACTTCCTGGCCATTTCCACAGCAGCAGCTTTCTTCTTCTCATCACGAATGTGGTGCAACACCGGGCGAGCCATTTGCTTGCAATATACCTTGGCCGTTCTGGTCATTCCCAGGTCACATGGCTGAAGGATAGAAGTTGTGTTCCTTGGGAGGAATTCACGTCGGATATTCCTCAGCGCTACACCTTTCCTCACCTGGGTTGGGCAGATGTCCACAAGTAGCAAAATCTTTCTCCTTTCCTGGCCCAACTTTCGATCCCACTCATGCATTATCCAGGCAGGTACACTGGCAGCAGAGCGGACTGGAATATGTCTCACACCTGGGTTTTGACTTTTCCCCAAGGACGAAAAGGTCCTTTTCCTTACCAGTCACAGAACAGGTGAACCGAGCAGCAATCTTGTCTTTAGAGGAGTTTCCTCCTCTTTTACTGTCTGATTTAAAGGTGAAAGTGCCACCAGGCAGGGCTCGAAAGTCAATTCCACTTTCCAAATGTTTTCTTCCATGAGGTCACGTCTCATTTTGAGCCACTCGTTTTCTAACCATTCTTCGCAAGACCTAATGTCTGCAGCTTTGACTTCTCCACACATTGTCGGAAACCAATCCCCTCGTTTCTTAAAGTGCTCACACCAGCCAGTGCTGGCCTTCAAGGTGATAACGCCCAGGGTGACCGCCAGTTCTGCTTTCTACATCACCAACAGCCCACTTAGGGGGGCATTTCTCTCTCTGGCATCTTTATAAGCACCACCTGGACCATAAGTGCCTTGCCTGACCACAGTCCTTCTGTCTCCTACATTCTGTAGGATGCTCTCCCCATCGCTGAGAAGCTTAGACAATGTAGGTTGCGGAATGCCCAATTTCTGAGCTGCATCTCTTTGGCCGGTCTTGGGAAGATGAGGGTAGGACTCGGGAAGGTGGCGTTTTTCATCTGCAGAAAGCGTCTCTCTTTTTCCTGCCATCTTGACTCTCACATAAATGGCACAACTGGTTTATTCTCTGCAGGGATTTTCCTTTCCATGGGCTATGTGCCCAGTAACGCGAGATCTGATCAGATTCCACCAGCTTTGCTGGCTCATTACATGTCGGTGCACTTGAGTATGGGAGTCAGTCTGCCCGAACCAGCGGCTCGCTGGAGCCTTACAAGTGGAGTACTTGCCCCAGTGGTTTTGATCACTTTATGCGGTTGGTTCTTGTATTGGTAATTCTTAGAAAGGGAGTGCACTGTAACTGGCCCGCACAAAACATGTTTCATCTGGGGGACCCAATTGCTTTCCAGAACACCTCATCTGTGGCCACAAGCCAGCCCTGCGCTGCAGCCACCTCTGGGGTGGGCTGGGAAGCTGCTAACCGGCACACAGCAATGCTCCCCAAGACGAAGGAGACACCAGTGTCCAGCAGATGCTAGAGGGGGGTTCAAAGAGGCTCAGTGTAGAAAACCCAAACTGGAATTGGGCCATGCCCTGAGATCTCCACCCCGGCAAACGCTCAGGGCCTTGGGCTTATGTCTCCTCTGACAGCAGCACAGCGCCCCCTAGTGCTGCACCGAGGACAGTGCTCCCTGCTGCTGCTTGCCAGGCTGCCGGCCGACCCGAGGGCCCCCCCGGCCCCGCAGCCCAACACACCCGGCCTCACCTTGACGAACTGCAGGTCCGTGAGGGCGCGGACGCTGAAGTCGGAGACGTACTGGGCGCTGGTGCACACGTTGAGCTGGTTGCTGCTGCCGCTGATGGGGGAGGCGACGGAGTCCGAGCGCTCATGGTAGCTGAGCGACGCTGAGCGGTTCAGGCTGCTCATGTGGGACAGGGAGCGCAGCTCTGCGGAGAGACACGGGCAGGGTTAGCTGGGGACCCCCTCCTGCCTCGCCCCGCTCCCCGTTCCTGGGCCCAACGGCAGCACCCGCCATCCAGAGAGGTGAGCCGGCCCCGGCTGGGCCCGAAGGGCCCCCCACCGCACCGTCCCTGGCACGCGGATGCCTCGCTGGGTGGGGTCAGCTCTTGGGAGGGGGCGGCCCCCCTGCCCTCACTCAGACCCCCCAGCTCGCTGCACACGGACCACCAGAGGCCAGGATTGGGGTCAGCCAAGCCCCAGGCATGTGACCGAGGCTCTGATCTAAACATCTGCCGCTTGCCCCAGAGCCACGCTGAGCCCCCCTGCTCCTCCCAGGCAGCCCTGCCCAGCTCAGGGCATTGCCCCCAAGGGCTCCCTCTGCCCAGGGCCCAGTGCACCTGTGCATTTGTTTACATGTAGGACCTACAGGATCCAAAAGTCACCTGGCTTTGCTGTGTTCCTCAGCCCTGGGTCTAGGTTAAACCCTGGGCGAGGCTGGAGGGAGCAGCCCATTCCCAGGGCAGGGAGGGGCCATTTCTGGCCTAGCCTGGGGACTGACACTGGAACCCCCTGGAATTCAAGCACAAATCTGACCCGGGGTCCAGCCACCCTGGAGAGATGCCCAGCCGGCCCCTGCACTAGCTCCCCCAGTGGGGCTGAGGAGGAAGGGCCCCAAAAGGGTGAAAGCTTCAGAGCTCTCCCCATCCCCAGCTCCCTCCAGCCATGCCCAAATCCCATTCATTTGGGAACCAGTCTCTGCCGGAGCCCCAGCCTCCCCCTCCCCATTGCTCGACGTGGGGGACCCTGGTTGCAGGTGCTGGGGGATCACGGGGAGGGAATCCCCGGCGTGGGAAGGGTATCTGCTTCTCTCGGGGACCCCAAGGGAGGAGACAGGAAGGGGCAGAGGCATGGTGTCATGTCAGCCCCTGGCTCATGTTCCCTTTTGGGTGGCCCCAGACAGGGCTGGGTACACAAGACCCACCATGCCCATAGTGTGCTTGGCAGCCGCACTCAGCTGTGTGCCTGGGAGGGTTCAAGGGCATCATGCTTCCTCGCCGGGCAGCCCCGAGGGGGAACAGGGTGTGGGCACCATACACAAACCCGGGGTGGAACGTGTGTCCCCACGCCAGGCCCAGCAGGACTTTGGGAGTCTCCCTGCCGGGCCCAAGCTGGCAGATGCTTCAGCACCTCCCCCACACACTTGCCCCCTTTCAGCCCCACGCTGGAGAGCCCGGCAGGGGCAGAGTTAAAGTGGGGCTAGAGCAGCGGTTCCGGGGGATGCGCCCGGGCCTAGCCGGGCATCCCCTTTCTGCTCCGGGAGTCTTAGTCCCCCGCTGCCCTCTTGGCGTTCACGGGCTGGCTGGAGAATGGCCCAGGAGCTGGCCCAGGGGTGGAAGCTCTGCGGAGGAGAGCTCCATCCCCTCCATCCCACGGCCGGCGGGCAGGGGCCGGGACAAAGGGCTCTCCCCGGCCCCAGCACTCCCAGCCCCGAACACTCCACTGCTGGCTGACATGGGAAAGGCTCCGGAGCCGACTGTTTAACCCCTTCCCGCCCCGAGCCAGCAGCTGGGTAACTAGGAGACAGTTCAAAGTACCTGGGCAAGCCTAATTCTCTGCAGGGGGCTCGAGACGGAGCTGGGGGTTACGAGCGACAGAACCACGCGGTGTCCCAGCAGCACGAGGCAGAGACGTTAGGGAGGTCTCCCTGGCATCAGTCAGAGCAACGGGGGAGGGTGGGCATGCACGGTCCCCTTCCGCAGAGCAAGGCTTTCACCTCCTGGCAGGCTCTTCACAGACTGACACCCGCTCGAAGCTCTAACACCCCCCGTGCACTCACCCCCAGAGCACGGGCAAGGACAGAGCGAAGGCAGGCCATCGGGGGAGGCTACGGGGCCACAGACCGGCCACATGCTGCCTGCAAGGCGTGAGCCGCAGTCTCCTACCGGGCTGGAGGTCAGAGGGGCTCACCTGTGCCCCGCGTCGCCCCCTAGCAGCTGCAGCCGGCAGTGCAGGTGTCACAAGGCAGGTGTGGCAGCCGCACTGGGCAGGGACGGCTCCCGAGTTCTGCCCTACCGTTCACTTCCACGCCCACGAGGCCAGGGAGAGCCGGGGCGGCTGGCTCCAGCCATGCGTGTGACCATGTGTCTACACGAGGGGGCAGTGCAGGGCGGATACCTGGAGATGCTCACAAACCCGACTGCAGAGGGAGGGAAATGATGGCGCGCATTGGGACGGGCTTCCCCCAAATGGCCCCTGGTGCCAAAGAGGGACAGCCAGGTGCCCGCGGCGCGCCTCAGCCCTGCTCCCCACGGACGCGCTGCTAGGTGGGATGAGGTCCCCTTAAGGACCAGGGGTTAAGTCCGGCTGTGGCTGGTCACCCAGAGTCAAAGCAGGAAAGGCAGCGCTGCCCTGCCTGCCCCGTGCCTCACCCGGGGCCGTGCCGGATTGACACGGCCAGTCTGTCGCCGGAAGGCCAGCCCGGGTTAATCCCGTCACAGATGGGTCTAGCACTCCATGCATTGGCTTCGGTTACCTGTCAGCCTGGAAACCAGCAGCCCTCCCTCTAGGACCGGGCGGCTGGGCTGGGCGGGCTAGGCAGAAACACACAGAGGACAGAACAGAGACATGCAGGAGGAGAACGTCATAAGAGACCCTCAGGAGAGAGGCCAAAGCTCGGCTCTGCCAGCTCCAGGGGGACGGGATTCGCCGCGGACACCCCCGAACAGCCCCCACCTGGCCCTTCCTACACTCGGCAGCTGGACCGACCGCCTGGCTCAGGTCCGGCTGTGGGCGGAGGGGGATCGCGCGTGGCTGCAGGAGGGAAGCGTGACGCCCCCGGCGGGGCTGAGGCGAGTCCCCGCCATGTCTCGTCTCAAGTCCTGGGTGCGGCCAGCGGGGCAGGACTTCCTGCCAAAAAGGACGGAACTGAGAGTTTCCCTCTGCGATCGCTTCTTCGGAGCGGACACGCCTGGCGGGCAGCTTCTGCCATAGTAACGCAAGCCCAGTTCAGTGGCCCCCGGGGCCCTGAGTGCCGGGGGGCAGCGGGAACGGGGAGCAGGCCGGCCAGTGCAGGGCAGGAAATCGCCTTGGTTCTCCATCTCCCCCGCCCCCACCGCAGGGCCAACGCGCGACCAGCGGCTCATCGCACCCCGGCCCCTTCGGAAGCCAGGCGACCAGGCAACGGGGGAGACCAACGGCTGCAGGAGGAACCCGGCGGCCGAACCCAAGCCTGGGGCACGGCCCCCCGCAGGCCTAGGCTGCTCCCTCCCTGCGGCTCTCAGCCCAGCCCGTCTGGCCCGCAGCTCTCTGGGGAGGGGCCGTGCTGCCCCGGGGGCACACGGGCAGGAACTCCAGCCGCACAGGCCGGGGGTAGCTCCCAGGCCTGCCTTACCCCCAGGACGGAGGTGCGGGCTGGGGCCCGTCAGGGCTCTCTGATCACAGCTGCCTGAGCCTCAAGGAGCCTGAGGGCGGCCGCAGGAGCATCACCACGGAGCCGCCGCACCAGCCCCCCGAATCTCCTGCAGCAGCTGCAGAGTCCTTGTCACTGGCACCCACGGCGGGGGGCAGGGGGGCCTGGGCTGGAGCTGGCAGTGTCACGGGGTGACACTGGCCCTTTAAGAAGGGGCAAGACCAGCACGCCTCAGCCCCTCACGCCTACTGCGGGCCCTCCCCGGGCGAGAGCCAGGGCTGCCTGGGAGCAGAGGGGAGCAGCGAGAGGGGTGCTGGCTCGTGGCCCCAGGCCAGAGGGCTAGAGGCAGGGGGGCGGCGCGGGGGGGGGGGCAGGAGCGGGGGCTGTGCCTGGGAGCCAGGACTGGAGGCGGGGGGTGGGGGTCTGCCCGGGCGCCAGGGCTGGAAGCAGGGGGCAGCGGGGGGGGCCGTGCGGGGGGGTGGGGGGGCGGAAGTCAGGACTGGAGGCAGGGGACAGGAGGGGGCCTGTGCCCAGGAGCCAGGGCTGGAAGCAGGGGGCAGCGGGGGGGCCGTGCGGGGGGGGCAGGAGCCAGGGCTGGAAGTCAGGACTGGAGGCAGGGGACGGGGGGGGCCTGTGCCCAGGAGCCAGGGCTGGAAGCAGGGGGCAGCGGGGGCTGTGCCCGGGAGCCAGGGCTGGAGGTGGGGCGGGGGGTCTGCCCGGGAGCCAGGGCTGGAGGCAGGGGGGCAGCGGGGGAGCAGCAGGGGACAGGCCCGGGAGCCAGGGCTGGAGGCAAGGGGACAGGGGGGCCCGTGCCCAGGAGCCAGGGCTGGAAGCAGGGGGCAGCGGGGGGGGGCCATGCCCAGGAGCCAGGGCTGGAGGCAGGAGGGCAGCGGGGGGCCGTGCCCGCTGACAGCTCAGGCTGGCGAGCTGGGCCCAGGGAGCCCCAGCAGAGAGGCTGCAGGGATCCCAGCTGGGGAGGGCGGCTTTCCTGCCGGCGGGCTGGCCTGGCCCAGGGACCGAGGAGACAGACAGAGTGGGCAGGGCGGAGTGGGTGAGATGATGCGGGACTGTAAAGACTCTGGGCCCTGGAGCAATACATGGACGACCCTTTGGACTATTTGCCCAGGGCTTGTGTAACACACGAGCCCCTAGGACTGGTACAATAGGTCCGTTCTCCGGGGCAGGACACAGAACACAGGCAGCCTGCGAGCTTGGCACAGGGCAGCATCCCCGAGACATCGCTCAAAGGGGCAGAACCCCCCAGCCCGTCAATGAGCGTGCGGAGAGCGCACAGGAAGCTGACGGACAGGGAACCACTCGAGCCTTGCGGCCGATACTCACCTCACAGCATCAGGCTTCACAGGGACTGACAAGGTAGGTCGGGAAAGCAGAAGACTGAAGGTCAACGTGGAAAAGACGCAGATTATGGCAAGTGGAGGAGACCAAGAAGACAAAGACCTGGGAGGCCCATCAAGGAGAGGGAATTGCCAAGATTAAAATAAAGTGGAAAGAAGCCAGGACATAATGCACTTACAGCAGGGGCTTGGCCCCAGATTGCTCACCATATGTGGGGCCCCA